AAAACATATACACATAAATTAATACATTACATAAAATAATGTCACTTTGATGCTTATTCATAAACTAAGCTGCCTCTAAATGCCTCTGCTCTACCTGATGAAGGGCCAACCTCGGCTCGGAATGTTGTACTCCTAAATGAATTAAAGAATTACTGTTTTTGAAAGGTTTTATTATATAGTGTTGCAAGTTCTTGTGAAACAGACAGTAATCATTTTTTTGGACTCATATATGTGCGTGTGTTTTGCACAGTGATGCTAGTAAAAAGGAAAAAAAAGGCCAGAACGGCCTCGCTTGCTATTCTTTTTTTAATGTTGTTATCTTGAGATCAAGTTAACCAAGCTCTTTTTCTTATCTAGAGAAAGCAATGGCAGATTTCTCGAGATAACTAGGCAGTTAATAACTGCAGTTGCCATCACAGGCCCACCCCCGGCTCCACCAGTGCTCCACCTCTTTGCCCATTTTTGGGTTAGCCCGGAGTTAGGCTAGCCAGGCACTGTGAAGATGGTGATGGCTGAAGCAACCCACAGTGAGCTTTGGCTTGGCTATAGACCTCTTTCTGCCAATAAAAGCAGAAGCAGACAAAAGGTTTCTGCATTTCCACTTCATGTAGGGTTCACTTTCCTGTGTTGTACTGAACTGACAGGATGTTAGCTCTCAATATTATCCTCCTTGTCTTAGCCAATGTTTAATTTGCACAATGAGTAATAGTTTGCCACCTGAGCTGCAGCACTGCTCATGCTCCCCAGTGGCTGACTGGATTTAAGATGCACTGTAATCTGAGATCAGGAGGCTTTTCTGGATATTTGCAGCTTTTCGTGATTAAAAACAAGCTCTAAACTGAAACCTATACAAATAAAACATGTTTTAATATGAATTTATTGAACGAATACTACAGTGAGCAAGGCAATATGTTTTCAGGCTCTGAGCCATGATAATGTGGTATTAGGTTGATGTCTTTATGAGTCCCTGTGTGACGCTGAATGTCATGTTTGCCCCCCCCCCAACACCCACATCCACCACCACCACCACCATAACAAGAAGGAGAAAAGAGCCTTAATTAACTCACACAAGGGCGCTAAGTTTTGTGCTATGTTTCCGTAGCAACATGTTTAACCAATTACGCAGAGTATAATGAAGAGGAACATGGCACACCAGAGTTCACAGGACACCCTCCACCCCTCTTTTTTAGCCTAGTTTGGCTATTCCAGAGTGGGAAGCGAGACATCGCTAAACATTAAACCAGCACTTCACTCTGGATACATACATTTATCTGTGTCAATATCCATTCCTCGTTTAATCATTTCTCCACAGCTATCTCAATATCAGGGGCTAGTGAGAGAGGCGGGGGTACATTATCTATGCTGTGGTGTTACAGTATTAGGGATTATCCCTGACAGATAGTTTCCCTTCCAGGCACCATTAGCTTGGCCTCATCCTATTTGGTATTTCCAACACCTGCGACCACCATCCGCTGGGCACAAGAATTATTACCATTGTATTTTTTCAGGGTATATAAATTAATCATGGGGATCACAAGCAACTACTTTAAATTTCTGGACTGTGACCAAGAAACACATCCTCCCCAAGGATGCCAAGGACCTATGCATCATTAAAACAGAGTTGTGCTATCTGGCAGAGCAACAGTGCCAGCTTCCTCACTTATATACATTAAGGGATTGTGGCCTCCGCATTTTCGCATAATAGCATAATAGCTACTGTATATGGATAAATGCAATCAGGGTCCTTCAGTCTGACTTTGAATCTTTAATGAGCAAGGGAGACACGTGTCTGTGAGTAGACGAAATAAAGTTGATCAGCTTGAAAGTGAAAGTAGACAGCTGACTACAGCGAACATAAATTAACATCGATCACTGGGCAGAGCACGTACGCTAATGACTCAAGGCTGTAGGGGCTTGTTAGACAACCTCTGCAATGGACTGTAATGGTTTCCATATCCTCACAATCCACTAAATACCAATGGCTGTAATTCCTCATTGAGCATCCTTGTTTGGCAAATGATATGTATTTGACATTTCATGTACACATGAAAGTATTGTGTGGCTATCAATGTAGATAATCCACATTACACGTGAAATAGTGCAATCAGATCCACCTCATTCTGTGGTGAGGAATAAATGCTCATTATTAAAAGCTTCTAAATCATTTAAACCTAAATTTAGGCTTAAATGGCAGATGTACAGTAATTTTTAAATCAGTTTGAGCATTGTGAAGAACCTCATACTTTTTGTATGTATGAGTTTATGATGTAGCTAACTGTCATAATCACCACTTTCAAGATAGGTTTTGTAGTAGTCTAATTTGAGTCTGATTTGACTTACATGGTGCTTGGCAAGAGCTTCTAAATTTTAAAACATATTGATTTGGAATTACTTAAAGGTGCTGGCCTATGACAGTTTTGATTGCAGATAGGCATTTTGACAAAATGTCTGGAAAACATTTCACATCGACTTAAAGTATGATTCAGATCACAAAATGTACTACATCTTAACACATGCAGCTTTGTGTTACTCATTTAGCACCTATTCATCCAGCATCTTAATCAACATATTTGACTCTATGGTAGACCGAGAACAGCACAAGGCAGAGCAGTTTATTGAAAAGAGAATATTTCATTGCTCAGAGGCCCAGTGCTCTCAAAAGAATGCAGCTTCTCTTGTTTGATGGATAAAGTTTCTTCATTGGTTTTCTCCAGAACAGACGAATGTATCAACCCAGTGAGTCTCATAAGGAAAGACATCAACCACATCTCCAGTTATTGATCCATCCCTCCATATTTGATTGAGACTCATGACAAGACTGTGGGCAGGATGACAAAAAAGGCAGAAGGTTAAAAAACTGTAAACCAAATCAATAATGATGACCGAAATGATGAAGCTTGGATGATCAGTATGGTGCCCCCTTAGAATAAATAATGCACAGCAGAATAAATCTACTTCACTCCCTACAAAGCTAATGCTTTTTCTCCCTTCTTCCCTCCATGATTAGTGACTCGTTCTGTTTTGTTACATCCATCTGTCGGGTACAATTTACTACAGGAACTGTGACAGAAAACGATAAAGAAAAGCTGTTGGAAAGATGTTTGTAGATATTGTGTTTTTTTATGAGCGCTCATAGAGGTTTGCGCATATTAAAACTGTTTTATATTTAACATTCACTTCTGTGGCTCAAGTGGTAAGATGCTTGTAGCTCATATGTGGTACACTTTAGCAACTTAATCTTTAGGCAATCAAGTATTTTTAGAAACGCGGTATATCATGTAGATATATCCTATCTACATGATATACTATAGGGGTGCAAGGGCTCTGTCTGTACCTTGTTTTGGGGGTTGTGGTTTGGTATGTTTTAGGTAATGTTTTGGTACAGTTAAAAACCCACAGAAGGTATAATCCCTTTCATTCATTATACCAACAGCACATGCCATTTGAGCTATTTGAGCTAAACCTTGCAACCAAGAACTAACCTGATTAGCATGATCAGCACCTGAGGGGGACTTGGGTGAGTTGAAGGGTGGGCACGGAGGGAGAGACTTAAGGCAAAGAGGTTTGGTGAAAGGGATAGGTTATGTACATAATGTACCAGTGTTCTGAAAACAACAGGAAGTTAGTTATTGTAGTATGTTGTGCTGGTTTGACCTCTTCTCAACATGGTCAAGAGTTGGGGCAGCTGTCAAATGAGCTGTGACACAGCATAAAATTTGCATACAAATTGCCTTCATAACTTAGTCAAATCTGAACACAAAGCCGTGATGGCTTTAGATTCAGTCTGACTTACACTCATTAAGTCATCGCGCATAAACATCCATCTGCTTCGAAATCCATTTTCAGTGTCAGAAAAGCCATGGTGTCACATACACACATACAATGGGACAACTGCCCCACTAGCAAAACTTTAGAATTGATGTTCTGCATCAATTCTATTTGGTTCACAGGGTGTACCAAACCAAAGAAAGTAATATAACATAACCTGCTGTACTGACAGGTCTAGGATGAATACATGTACGGCTCCAATGAGTCACAAAGATGACAGACTGAGTTGTTACATGTTGTAAACCTGTAAACACAAAACAAAAATCATTTTTTAAGATGATATGGCTCGCTAGCAAATAGTTGCTTATTTACACATCCAGCATACATGGAGCAACATTAGCATTCATTTGAAGTAATGTTTTAGCCACCTGATGAATGTCCACTATTGACTCTCCATACAGCTGAGCCGACTGCAGAGTCAGATGAAAATTCTCTGTGGGTTCATCACTATTATTGACTCTTTTAACATAAAAATAGTAATAAATATATTGATAACAGAAGCTTTTAAGAATGGGCTCGGAATTAATGTCCTAACACACAGATGTGTCCGAATACAGACTGCACCAAAAAAGCAAAAATTATTATGATGTTACTTGTAATGTTATTTGACAAAAGTTGGCCAAAGTTTCATTTTTTTCATTTTGGCAATAGTTACTTGCATCATGGTCCATGGACGATGTGCTGCTTGTCTGCATGTTTTGAAGTAGTTTGAATGATTTGAACACAAAAGGATTATTTGGTGATTCAGTTCAGTTTGTCTGTCTGAATACATTAACATTCCCTGTGATATATACTGTACACTTAACACACTTAGTAAATACAGTATATTGAACCAACAGTTTTCAGAAAGCTTAGCATTACCTTTGGCAGGATGTTCTGCTCGTCTTGCTGCTGATGCAAACATCCAAACTTTTTTTTTTGCCCCTGGGAGATAGTGTAGCAGCAGTATGTATACACTAAATATCAGCTCCGCAGTATCAGCTGCTAGCTGGCCCTTCGGCATGAGATCTTGGCTCTGCTTATTTGGTTGAATGAATTATTAATGTCTCACCAATTTTCCACAGCTTCCAGCCTGTTTTTTTTATCCAGGCTTGATGTACTATGCATCTCCCCATCTCCATCACCCTCTCTCTCTCTCTCTCTCTCTCTCTCTCTCTCTCTTCCAGAGCCAAACGGAGGAGCATTTGCACAGAAAATATTCTCCACTCTCTGGCAACTGGATGGGAAGAAGGATCATCTTTGACCTTGGAAAATGAAGATGTTGTTGCCATGGGAACTGTTAATCCTTCTGTCACTCAAAGACTGCCTGGCTGGTGAGACGCCAAGTCAAGTCGCCTTTCATGACACACCTGATATGCATCCATCTCTAACGAGGGGAGTTTGCCTCTTTTTCATGTATGTTTAGGTTATCATTTAATTTGTGAGGACTTGATAGCGGTCTCAGAAGGGAACATCATCTTTGTAGATTTTTTATCTGAGCAAAATCTACTACTAGTTTGTAAAAACAAATTGCAAAACATGGCCAAATCTGTAGATTTCATTTCGGTTTTAAAGGGCTTAGCAATGCATTTAAGTGCAAATAAGAACCACAGAGCCAGACCGTTGAATTTAGTGGTGTAGTTTTTGTTAATTAACAGGATGAAGTTGTCACAAGGTAAAGAAACACTGCCGTGTGTCATTCTAAAGACTGTTATATTGTAGAGATGTAGAGATATTGTAAAAATAGTATTCTATAGTCAAGGTTGCAACTAATTGACCATTCTTTTAAGATCGTGACTCAATGTTAGATTTACATTTGAAGAGAGACAACAGATGTATTGGAGAGAATTCACTCTCTGGTGTTTTTATGTCTCCCTGTTTTATTATGCAATTTTCTTGCTTTATGTCCAACTGCTGCCACTTAAAAGAAATGTGGCAAGCATTATAAAAATCCACACTAACTCTTTTCCTAAAACTAATTTATTCTGCACTCCGTTCTCAGCAACATACATCCACAGTGTGCCGAGGTGCTCCTCTTCACTGAGAGAAAAGCAGAGTAACACAAGCCTTCACTTCCCTAATACCTGTATGAGCTACAGCTAAGGCGTTAAAATCTCTCTAAGAGCTCTCACTTTATGTCTGGATATGGTAACATGTGAAGCCTAGATGACTGAGTGAGATTTAATGTCGACAGTCACATTTGACAGATATACTGTGTATAGAACTTAAGTCAACCATTTACAAGTCATCAAACAAATACATTTACATTTATACAGCCTATGGAGAGGGGTCTATTGTGTTGTTATTTATGCTTCCATTTCCATTGATTTAGCATCTCATCTCACGTCAGCAGTTTCACTGGGGTACATCTATGCAGCCTGCAAACACAAGACCACAGAATGAAGAGTTGTGCAATGGGAGGCACATGCTGTTCTTTACATACATATGTATGCTATTGAGCACACATTCATTCCCATGAAAACTAATTAAGTGTGTGTGTGTGTGTGTGTGTGTGTGTGTGTGTGTGTTGGTGAGTTGGTGTGTTTACAGGGCAGGGCTGTTCTCAAGCATACACACAAACCACCCGACCATTTCCCAGGTGAAATAGCCCAGCTATTAAAGGTTCATTAATTTGTTTAATTTAAAGGACATCGCAACCAGGGTAAAAATGAAACACCTCCCACAGAGGCTGGGGAAACAAGGCCCTTACCTGAGGCAAAGACTCCCACTCTCATTAGGATGATGATGATGATGATGATGATGATGTGGGAGGGAGCACTCTTTGTCCTAGTCAAGGTTAGAGATGTGTAAAAAATCATCTCATCCTCTCATGTGCACAAAAAGAAAAATGATACGTTTGCAAGAGCAACACTAACATGCAGCTCTGTGTATCACACACAGTGTCAGTGGAAAGAGAGGGTGGACACCAGTGTTCCAGTATCCTTTGTGAAATGTTAGATTTCACAGGAGTAATTAGTGCAACATCAGTTAATTACTCCTGTGTATTGATCGCTTGGCTGGAGCTAACCAAAACAACAAGTTCGACTGAGCAGATACACATGCCCAAACAACATGCATAAAGACGACAGTTTAGCAGACTCTAATAATTAAATTATAAACAGAGCAAGGCGATACTAATACTATACTAATACTACTAATTTTGCAACTCAACACCTTAACCAAGTTATCCTGCTTGCATTAAGATCATAATGAAATAAATCATAATTCAGTTAGCCAGTTGTGTTACTTGTCAATCTTTCTAATTACTCTTGACATGTAATAAAGATTGGACCGGTTGTGTTTTGATTCCGTGCATGACAGTTCACAGAGTGAACCAGATGCCAAGTGTGAGTTTAAATCTAGGAACAGATGTAGCTCTCAGTGACACACATTTTGATAATACTTAATAGCACAAGTAACAGACCTTGTGTCAAAGTGTTCTGTGAATTGACCATTTGCTGACTCCTGACACCAAACAGCAATTGTCCAATCATAGCTTAGCACCTACAAATAGGCTACACCAGGCCTGTCAAGCTTTGGATTTTATACACATAAGAGTTTAGAGAGTGGGTACTTTTTACACACAAGACTAAAAGTGTAAGGAATGATTTAAGTCTACAACACATTTCACTCCCGACTCGTCGCAAATTGACCCTTGGTCAAGGCCCTTTGGCGTCGCTTTTTAACACCATGGGTTGACCTTTTGCGTCATTTTTAGACATTTAGGGCTCCGCAGTCAAGTTAGCAACTCTTAACAACAATAAATATGCAACGTCCAGTTCCACTTTCAAAATAAAACACAAGCGTTTCAATACATCGCCATTTTGAAATGGCACATTATTAAAGTTGTGAATTTGGTTAGGTTTAGGCACAAAAAGTAAGAGGTTTGAGGTAAAAGTTTGAGGTTAGGAAAAGATCATGGTTTGGGTTAAAATAACTACGTACGTCAGTTAACACGTAAGTTAACTTACGCAACTTCCCTAACTTAAATAAAAATATTTAATTTTGACTTTTTGTTTCACACGGGACACGGACACCGCTCTCCTGGTTCAAAGTCTGGGTTCTGGCTCTCCGTCCACCCCAACTACCTCCTTACTCAGTCTTTTCTGTTCAATATCAAATACTGATGCCACAGGGCTTCCTCTACTGTGTAGAAATATGACTATAGGAATCCCCAATGCGTTACAAACTGACGCCGATGGGTCTTGACCATGCTTCCATATGTGACGAGTCGGGGAGTGAGAACGGGTTAAAGTCTAACATAAGTTGCAATTGTTAGCATGACTGGCTAATTTGCTTACTACCTACAATAGCAACCTAACCCAGCATTACTTCCAACGCCAAGGAGAGCTACATTAACTACATTAATTACAGGTTTTGGTTTAAAAAAAACATTAGCTTAATTAGCTAGCTAGCTATGTGATAAAATCATCTCAGTCTGCAAAATTGGCAGTCCCCAGCTAGAAATGAGAAGCCAGTGTTTGTCTAGCTCTGTCTGAAAACAGGGACCACTTGTTTTATAACAAATACTGAGAATTGTGAATGTTATATCTGGTACTGGTATTACTGTAAACTGATAATGTGTTGTGTGAGAATGGAAAGCTTGGGCAGGGTTTAACAAATGGTCAATTTCTCAGTGACACAATAATGAAATCCTTTTTTTTTTTTTTTTGCCATTTCCTGTAACTGCACTTCCATTTGAACAGTTACTTAAAAATAATGAAGGAACAAAACATGAACTCTTATGTTATTGGTGAAGTCAGGATGTTGTAAACCATGTATTACTATTACCTTGATCTGGGCTTCAACAGTAAACTCATAAATTACTGTGTACATAAACATCCTGACTCCGAATGAGGGCGGGGGAAAAAATGTGTTGAAGGCTGCATAGAATATGCCAGTTAACCAGCATGCTACAGGGTTATCTCTAGTTAATTGCTCTCTCATCGCAGTGCATTATCTGCCTTGTGACATGTGCACAAGAGTGTTTATTAAATGCAGAATCCACTCAAAGAGTTGGCAGCTAATTATATGGGCGTTTTCTGAGCACTGACTGATTTATTTTTGCAGCTATTCAGTGTCACTTTCTCAGCACCATTGCACAGCTAAATTTCAATTTTTTCAATACAGAGAATACACGCCATGGTCCTGTCTTCACCCAGGAGCCTAGTGACAGTATTTTCCCACTGAGCACGGATGATAAGCAGGTGTTTATTAATTGCAAAGCTAAAGGAAACCCTCCTCCACATTATAGGTAAGTGTTTTACCTGTGTTTGACTATCAATAAGGTTTGACAGTGTGTAGCATCAGTGAATGTTTGGTATAAAGTGCTCTGTTGAGCTATTTATGACACCAGGCTGTGTTACTGTAGTGGCTACATTTTCAGTGCAGTAATTCATTAGCGGTAGGAAGGTAATTACATTTTAATCATATGCGTCCTTGTGGGATGTTTTCTGGATGTTTTCCAAATATTTAACTGAAAGATGAAAATGAAAGTTTCTGCCACAGATGTTAGCAGACTTGGGCGTAGTTGTGAAGTGGCCTGTCACCAAAAACACTGTTGTGTGTGATGATTAGTACTTTGTAATTTATCTACAGGTGGAATGTGGATGGGAGAGATATAAACACAGAGTCGGATCCAAACTACAGCCTTGTAGAGGGGAACCTGTTGATCAATAATCCTCATGTCATCAATCATGGAGGAGTGTATCAGTGCATCGCCACCAACACGTTTGGGACCGTTGTCAGCAGGGAGGCAAAGGTCCAGTTTGCATGTGAGTAGAGACTTATGTTGATTTTTGTATGTAGCCTATTGTACAGATGCTTTAGAATGGGGCTGCAGCTAATTATTTTAATTATCATTTGGTTTAATTTGTCTAGAAAATGTCAGAAAACGGTGAAAAATGTTCATCAGGTTCTCAGACCTCAAATATCTCATTATGTTATACCAACAATCTGAAGCCTATAATATTCAGTGTAATGCAATAGCAGACCCAGAGGATTTTTATTTTTATCGATTCAGAATTGTTGCAGATTAAATGCATTTTCTGTTTATCGGCTAATCAAATACTGTAATTGATTAATAATTGCAGCTCTAATTGAGATAATGAACACAAACTACTTTTGTAATCATACTAGTATGGTTTAGGAATGGCACTGTTGGTCAGTCTGTCAGTCCACCACTTTGGCCCAGAGTGAAATATCTGGACAGCTGTTGGCTTTGCGGCCACAAATTGATTTGATCTGATGTTTTATCTAGCATCAACAGCCTTATCAACAGGTAAGGTTTTCCACATGTCTAATTTTTCATGACAGGATATCTCTAAAACTGTGTCAGACAGGAGACCAGAGAGGAGCAAGGTTTGTAAGTAACATTATAAATCCTCGAGTAGTTGTTCTTATGAAGCTGGAAGTTATTTATTCCCGTGTTTTGAACGGAAAGGCTTGTGTGATGTTAAATGTGTTGAAATAAATAAACAAAATGTCTCTTTGCTGGTTGTTCTGACACATTCAGGATCATTACTTGTCGTTAACAGGCAGCTCGCTTCTTGTCTGTTGTAAAATTTGTATTTCAAAGGCTCATTATTATGGTTTTATATTTCTCTGTAACATTTTTTTTCTCAGTTCTAGAACTCAAACCATTTTCTGTTCCCCCCAAAATTTACATTTAAATAAATAAAATATACTACAACTAATCAACTTAACAACTTGAACCAACAACTACTAGTTGACAAGGAAAGTGTTTAGTCGGGGACAGCCCTAAATACAATACAACATGAAATAACTGCACTTATAATTCAACGTTTATTTGATTTAATGCAATATTGTGGTATTTAACTGCAGATGGTTATTGTGTGGATCACTGGCTACATTCACACTGCAGGTCTTAATGCTCAATTCCAATTTATTGCCCAGATCCAATTTTTTTGATTGACTGTTATATGTATTTTCTAAATGTGTCCTGCTTCAGACTCCAGTGGGAACTGGCCACGGCCTGAAAGAGACCCGCATGTGCAACAGAATAATACGACATCACAAGCAGCACGCTATCGACTGAAGTACACATACTAGCTTACCCTCCCGATTTATATGGGAGACATGTTCACAATTTTATTTCTTTTTCATCGCATTCATTACAGTTTCTGGCACTGTACAGTGTAAATAATAATAATAAGCCCTACTCTCTCTACTGTTTCTGCCCGGACAAGAAAATGAGACATCACCTACTTTTAACTGCTGTATAATCATATATATTCATGTTGAAGTGATGCACGTCCATGTCGACAGTAAGTGTCCTCTGAGGAACAGAGAGAGAGCCCTTTGTTTAAAGAAGATGAAAGTAATGAAGATGATGATTCCATGACTGTCACAGCCAATAACGCGCCGATAGTATATGATAATGTATTCACCTGATCCCACTCTGTATCTAAATGTGCAACATGTGAGCCAAGGAAGTGCATTTGGCACCCCCATGATGCACTGGGGCAGGGCACACTTGACTGCGATCTGCATCATGCCGCTGGGTTCACAAAAACAGATCCCTGACTGTCCTTTTAAGTTCACTTTTTCCCTTGAATCATTTTTTTACGTGTGCAATGTAATATTCAAATATTTGCTTTGTGTTATATTTAAGCGACTTTTGTGGTAACAAACACAAACGTATTCAAAATAGCCTCTCAAAGATGTTCGGGGTTTTCCACACTGAAAATTTTCCAATAGAGTTTTTTTCAAAAATTTTCCCGGATTGAATGTCAAAAGTCATGTCTGAGATTGTGTTGATTTTTATACTAGTCTGTAGCACCAGTGGAATACATGAAGGGATGAGGACTGTGTGTCTTGATTTGGGGGAGTTTTAATCAGTTGAGTTTTGATTTGACCACTGCTGATATTTGCTTGATCCCTGCCGAGACTTGGTTGGTATTTCTAAGACTTTGGGATTGATATGTCTTCCCGCTGTTTATTCTTCCACACAGCACATCAGCATTTAATTAAAGGTGAAAGTAATCTCTCAAGCACAATAGGTGATGAGCACTTTCCTGCCCCCTCTACCTGAATTCCTGTGCTTGCTGTGATATTAACAGGGAACTCTCAGGTTTGACTTGTATGTCAATGTGAGCAGACAGGGAAATATTCTGCAGAATGAAATGCCCTTTCCCGGATGTCACCTTCAGGTAAAGTTATTACAGCTGCCAGACCCTAAAAAAGTTTTATTTTATATTCAACAGTTCTGCAGAACTTCAGCAGGAAGTCAAGGAACACAGTGTCGGTGAGGGAGGGTCAAGCCGTGGTTCTGCTCTGCGGCCCTCCACCCCATTACGGAGGTACATTGCTCTGTCCTAACTCTTCTGCATTGTCTGCTGTAGTCTCACCCTCCTGCTTGCCTCAGCAATCGTTATTGTTCCCCACTCTGCTGCTTATTATCTCCCTGTAACACTGCTGTGTCTCTTTTGTTTTTAAACCTTACCACCTTCTTTTTTTGCTGCTCTTCGTTTCGAACTCTTGACACACTGTCTCTCTTCTCTTTATCTGTCAGACAGGGAACTTTTTATGATCAGCCACCGCTCTACCTACCCAGACCCATGCCTTCACATCTATAGTTCATAGCCTCACACTTCTTAACCTTGAGCTCACTCTTCTCGCCCATATGATCTGTGACTGTGCTGTCATCTATAAAGTCTCCAGTGCGCCACATCCCCAACTGTCAATTTCTTTTCCTCGATGTGGGCAGGTTATCTGCGGGTAATAAAGGCTGGTGGTGGCTGCTGTGGCCGGGGGAGCGTTTATCCCATGGCACAGCTGTGAGTCGGCTCATGCTTCTGTGTGCTGCTGATTAGCAGACCCTCAAAGTGGTCCGCACTCCTGCAGCCATTCCGTGCCCACCAGCACAATTTCACGCCAGTGTACCAGCCTTTCTCCGCTCTCTGTTGCCAGCTGAATCCTGCAGCCACATGGGATTCCACACTTTAGCAATTTGCCCTCCAGCCTCTCCTCCCTCCCCTTTTAAAAGCCTTCATATCTTTATGTTTCCTCTTAAACAGAGCATAGTCACACATTTGATGGGATTTGCGCTACACAATAATGCTAGCTTGAGGTGTTTTAAAATTGAAAAATGGTGCAAAATGCTGTTTTTTGGCCACAAGTTTTAAATTATGTCAAAGCTTCTTTAATGCTTGTTGATGCACAACTTGATGAGTGAGGGGATGCACCTTACTGTAATATAAGAGAAATTATATGAAGCTTTTTTTGAGTAATCTATAGGTACGTGGTCTAAAAGGAGCAGAGCTGAGAGTTAAACTCTGTCAGAGGACATGAAATGATGTGCCTGCAAGTCCTCTGTTGCTGTGAGACTGTAACAGTCTCTGATAGTCTCTAATCATGAAAGGTCTGTCAGTTGCTGCCCTGACTTTCCCTGTAATAATTTTAATTCACTGTTTTCCCTCAAGGAAATGAGCGGGACTTACTGTCTACCCAGTCAAAAGGACTGACTGCAGCATGTCAGGTTTCTGATACAGGAGGGCTGCACTGATAGACAAGTTCACTCTGCAGTCCCTGCAGATACCCCCCCCCCCCCTGTCTCTTTTGCTATGAATGTGTTTTACACTTTTGTTTTGACATTCATATTATTCCTTTCATTCTTTAGTTGGCATGAATCCTCCTCGTTAACCCATGTGACAAGAGTTGGAGATCAACTAAATTGATATTTCCTGTAAAATCTAGTGCAGACTATGATTGAGTAATGACATTAGGATCTAATAATCACGTGCACATCTGTAGTGAATCCCATGTTTGCTTAATTTTACTGTGATACCAGTCTTGGTTCATATTCAAAAGATAAGGGAGGAGTTATTCTATGTTTTTCTTATTGTTAACAAATAACAAGAAAAGACCAGTGAAACAATGAAATAAGATTCAGGAAAGCATGTTTGAGTAAAAGGTCCGTAGGTGTATATGAGGCTTATATAGGCTTATAAGATGCCAAACACTCTACAGCGGTTTATAATTCCACAAGAGTTACAACTTTGGAAAGTTATCACAATGAAAATCATCTGATTCTTTGTTGCAACAAGTGTGAGGTCAACAGCAAAATTACCTTGTTCATATTACAAAGTAATCTACTATGAATGTACAGTTGCTCGCATTTAATTGGGTTCAACTTCCATACAGCAACGCTTTCCTCGCGGGGATTTTATCACAACTGCCCACACAACGCAAATAAACACAACCCGCGATTGCTACAGCTGTATGAACTAAAAGTAAACATTGTGCTGTGATTTAATTGCAAAAAACGGATCAAACTGATGCAGAAATAACTACAAGATGTAGACGATTTGTTAAAGATATGAATCCATGCTTTGTTAGGTCTGTCAGCAAGTCAGCAGGACAACAACTTTTTAAATGTTTGTTTTCTGAATGGAGTTCGGATCGATCAGGGCTATGCAGTGCGAACTTGGTCACAGTACAACGACAGTACCAAACCAATTCATTCCTACTGAAGACATAGTTTAAGTCTTTAAAAATGAGTCACAAATATAGAGGCAAAGCTGTGCTTGACCATTAGCCTGCGGGTCGTAGTAGCTAGCAGAGCGATATCCTGGAGCTGAAGTGTGTTTGAATGACAGTTCGCAAAAACATGGTTGATTCATTTCTTTCTGTTCTTTAGGTTGGTGAAGGAGGTTTGGATAACTCTGCCCACATATTCTGTTTAGCTAAATAATCTTTGGACCCTCCAAATGCAATATTGCTGGGCCTTAGGGTACACTAATTTCTTTGATGATTTTGGTGTTTTCATGGGATTTATTAACAGAAAATATAAAATTATTGTGTAATGTCATGTCTATATTTTTTGCAGAGAAATAGAAAATCTCAGAATGTATTTGCAATGCTACAAGTCTTACTGTCTTGGTCATTATGGGTATGCCACTGTATCTGTTTTTTTATAAATTCTTCCTTTTTTTTCTAGAGATCAAATATTCATGGGTTTTCAATGGACAGATTGGCTTCCTGCAGCAGGACACCCGTCGTTTTATCTCTCAAAGGACGGGCAACTTGTACATAGCCAAAGTTGAAGCCTCAGATGCTGGGAACTACACGTGTGTGGTGAGAAACATGATGACCAACACCACTGTGTTCAGCTCTCCAACCCCTGTGGTGGTGCGGAGGGACGGTAAGCATCCATAGTTCGCTTCTGCTGCCTCCTGGTTATCTAGCGCGCTGAACTGACACGCGCTGTCGGAGGGAGGGCGAGCCTAGGAGATAAATCGCTTGTCTTGAGCGTGACACTGTTTTTGCTTCTGCTTACGAGCAAAGTTTTTGCACCATCCCAAAGCCTCTGAACTATACAGGGTTATGTATGCGAGAAACCCTCCCTATCTGCATGAAGGCACATATTTACATAACCAGAAATGTAGTCTGCACTGACAAAAATGCAAGCAGGCACACACACAGCAAGGAGCTTGCCACACATACTAAACCCCATCAGGACCATTTATGTGTACCACTTGAGAATTGAGCTGACGCAGATATGTAATCCAAACTCATCCATCCGCTAAGCCAAATGCTGTTGTATATGGCGTCAACACGCACACTCGCTCTCTGCCAGTGTCATTCGCACCACAGCTCTCACATCCAATATGAATTACAGGAAACTTCATGTCCTTGTTTTGTGTTTTGACTGATGTGATTTGCCTTTATTCTTTGTGCAGTAGTGATGGGTGAATACGAGCCAAAAATTGAGGTTCAGTTTCCTGACACCCTTCAAGTCTCTAAAGGATCATCAGTGAAGTTGGAATGCTTTGCCTTAGGAAAGTAAGTGTCAGAGACATTATCACAGTGCAGCTTCTCTCCTCACACTGCATTGTCAGATTTGGGAAGTGGCCAGACATCCTGTATTACAAAAAAACAGACTGACAGACATGGCAGCAGTCCTTCTGGTCAGTGTGAGCAGGAGCATGTGGCCAACTTGACCTTTTGTGTGTGACCTCCACAGCCCTGTGCCTTCCATCTCATGGAGACGAGCTGATGGAAATCCACTCCCCGGCAAGATTAAAATCAACCACTCCAGTGGGGTTCTGGAAATTCCATATTTTCGCCCGGAGGATGCCGGTGTGTATGAGTGTGTAGTCGAAAACAGCAGAGGACAAAATGTTGCCAGAGGGCAACTTATATTCCACAGTAAGAACCTTGTTTACTTTTGCTTTCTGTTTCATGGAGATGACTTCTAATCTTTTTCTCCTTTATCAGTAATATTTAATATCCATCACTTTACTATGTAAGTATTTCATATTCGCAATTTTTGGAAAAGTGCTTTATTATTTGTTCTATTATCTATAAAGTAATTGAATTATTGTCTCTGTATGTAATAGTCTTATAATGCCAGGATAATCTGGAGTTAATTAGTTCTTATTATCTGTGCTTTTTTGTTATCACGATGTTAAAGATTTCCTACAGCATACTGAATATTTCTTTTAACCAGTGGCTTGAAGAAGAAAATGAGATTACTCATATGTCAGGATAAGTCTACCACCTCCATAGAATCAAAAGGAGCCGGCTGTCAAACTGCAAGCTTTGAAATGAGTCATTTGTATGTCGTAGGAATGCACGGTCTTTATGAGAGAATATTCACAACTCTCTTCTATAGAGAGTCTCCGCTGTTACTGTCAATGTACGTGTTGATAAGGAGCAAGAAAAGATGGATCTTTTGGATTTTTTGGTTTTCAAAGACAAGACGTTGAGAGGAGCACTAATTCTCAGTCTTACTTCTTTTGTGCCAAATACAGGTATTTCAGTTTTATATGTGTTTAGCTGAAGGAACTTGAGGCACATCCAATCATCAAGTTTTTTTCAAGGTTCATTTGAAATCTACAAAATGTTGTGATTTTATTGTTTCATATAATTTGGCCTAATACAAACATGTACAAGATAAATGTGGACACGCAGCAGCATTGCTAAAGCTTATTCAATATTGAATGAAGACTATGCCAATAGGTAATGTACTAGTTATTCATTCTTAGAGATAATTTGTGCAAAAACATGTGTACTCAAGTTTCATTATTATTAGATTTTTATGACATCAGATGTCATGGTGGAGAGAGCACCGCTTGGAAAGGTAATACGAGAAGCCAGTGTGATTGTCCTTGATTGTTACCAGCCCATAACACCCTGATGAATTACATTTATATCATAGATACTCAAAGCGCTTCACAGTGAAGTGGGGGGGACTCACCTCAACCACCACCGACTCATTGTTTATAAGCCTGTTTCCATGTGTGCCCTAGGTGCCCCAATTGACTGACATGACTTGTTTGTGGCCCACAGCCAAAGCAACCTATAAAGGCAGTTTGGTTGCCATCTGAGGCACTCTGTGTTTGTCACGGGGAAAGTGCACATAACTCCTTAATGTTAGTCTATGCATTAAAGGTCAGATCATGCAAAGAGCAGCAGTTACTTGTGGTTGATTGTGCATTCAGATTTTGCATGGGAAATTCAGAATTTCTGAAGGTTAATAATTTGAAGTAAATTATGCTGTTGTGTTGAAAAATGAGGTTGTGGTGACAAATAGAAACGTTTTATATAAATAGGTATAATGACCCCTGTTGCTTTAATAATACAAGAAGGAAGACAGATCAGGCTACATTTTACCTTAATGAGTAATAGATGTTGTCACTGGAGTTGCTAAATTAATAGAATAAATGGAATTTTGGAATCTTTGGAATCTGCAGCATAACACATTTTCATTTCTGCTCTGAACTTAGTGATCTCGATTCCATGAACTGCACCTACTGCACAATGCTGCAACAGGTCACTACCAGGCTAATTACACACATATTACAGTCGCAAATTGGATGAAAGTAGTGCAAATTTGCCACAGCCTTTCATGTATGCAAATCTGTCCCGCAGACTGGAGAAGCTCTCCAGTGGTAAAAATTAGAAACAAATGTACATCCCATTTAGAAAAAACACTCATCTCCCAAATTGTAAAAAAAAAAAAATATCCACAATATTGTCACTAAAAAGTGGTATATCTGATCATTACAAGGAAATCAGATATTGGTAAAACTAAATATACTGTATCTGCAGTAGAATGACAGTTTTGTCAAAAGATATTCATATTCATGGGTATTTTTCACAGATGCTGAACATCTGCATTGGGTCCAGACACTGAAAGATGCTCATATGGCCATTGATGCTAATCTGCAGTGGGAATGTAAAGCCGCCGGTAAGCCTAGGCCTACATACAAATGGTTGAAGAACGGTCAGCTGCTAACAGCAGAGGTAAGACACCACAAGTAACAATGAGATTTGATATTTATAAATAAATGTTAGGCACTTATTGTGATCTCTCAAACAGGACTGCAAAGGTCTCTTTTAGAAGTAATTCAGTAACAAACCTTACTCAGGCTTAGCTAATGCTGAACTGAAAACCTATAAGGCAAAGGATAATTCAAATTCTTGCTTTTATCTCACAAATTAATGTAAATAAATCAGTGAACGATATTAGTTAACATTAATCAGCTGGCCTGATTTGTAGGGGAGGACCTATGTGGAAGCGGGAAGACTTACCATATCCAGGATTAGTCTGTCGGACTCTGGGATGTATCAGTGTGTAGCAGAGAATGAACATGGAGCTGTCTATGCCAGCGCTGAGCTTAAGGTTATAGGTAAGCAGTTGGTTTGCCCTGTGTCATTTACAGTGACTAACCGAACCGAAGTGAACTGTATGTTCATGTGTCAGTGAAATGAGAGTGCTTCCTTTCTGAAAGTGAGTAAATAAATAAAAAAGAGGCTGAACTATCCCCTCCTGTGGCCTCGCTCTTTAATTTCCATAATTCTTTTTACACAATCAGCCATTCTTGTGGTGAAAAATAGTGGTAGTTGCTAGTGATGTACTTGCTATTTTTGCTGATGCACAGCTGTTGCTCCTACACAATGCGAGACAAATAGCCTTAGCACGGCTCTGTTCCTCAGCTTCCCCACCTGACTTCACCCGGCGGCCCGTGAAGAAGTCCACAGTGATCCAGAGGGGGGGTGAAGTGGTCTTAGAGTGTCGCCCCCATGCTTCCCCCAAGGCCACAATCTCGTGGTGGAGAGGGGGCGAACTTCTGAAGGACAGCGAGAGGTAGGGTATTGTATGCTCCACTGCTCATGCTATTGTTGCCATCTGTTAACAGATTTTCACGTGGTAATTTTCATTTGTAGGACTCATTGTTATTTATGTCTCTGCTCAATCGGACTTTAGAAGTCACCAAGAAAGTGTCATTTTTAGATAGACACTTTATTCTTTATATAGAAATAGATGTTGGTTGTCTGTTGACATATAGTAGTTTTGTGTGATGCCCTTATACTGAATGTAAAAATTAGGCCATGACCTCTACTCTGTCACTTCTTTAAGGCAGATGAATATGATTTAGCTGCTTGACTACTTCAAAGCATCCAGTGCCCTGAAGTTTCACAGCATATAGAACAGAGATCCTGCTCTCTGTGTGAAAACCACAGAGAAAAACAATCTGACTACATCCTTCAGTGAAACTCTACCTCAGGCTACATGACAGGCCACACCATGTCATGATTTAAAGTCTGAGGCAACACCTACGAGCTTAAAGAAACAGTTTGTTGTTGAACTCTGCCGTAGCAGAGACAGACAGTAAGAACCAACAGAGTTATGAGAGATGCTTTCATTAAATGTTTGAACGAGTAGAAGAGGTAAACATTCATGTAGGTTCAGAAAAACGGGCGGGCTGGGAAACTGCTGGAAAGGTCCAAAAAGTAAAGACACTCAAACATTTTCCAGAAAACATTCAGCATTTATCACAGTGAACAGTGAAAATTACAGCACTTTGGGATTGATTATAACCCTCTTAGAGATGCTTTAAATGGAAACTTTACAGGTCCCACTGTTGACATCATGCTTTTTGCCGAATGACATAATATTGGAGCATTTATGTAATTTCTTAAGGGAAGGAAAGACAGTATCCTGGTGTTTCCCGCTTAAGCCATTGTTCAGCAGGCCCACATATCATCAGACACGCAATTGAAAGCATGTCTTTTGTGTAAAACACCATCAGAAAGCCTTGTTAGTCTTAAGTCATATAATTAACTTAATAGCGTTCATTTTCTTTGAGAGCCTTGCTTCTTTTTTCTGTTCAGGCAGCAACTTGAGTGACTTACAACAACTTCTCAATGAGGAGAAATAAAGAGGGCAAGGGGAACCATGCTGTCTGATTTTGGTCGTTATATCTTGTCTGAAACCTGTAGTTTTTGACCACAAATGGGTAATGTAAAATGTCTATGAAGTCATTTTCTTTCTACAGTTCTAGGTTTAGACGTTTATTGCGTCTTGAATTTTGTCTACAAAAACAGTTTTATTACCATTACTATTACCATCCTAAGAAGCTTCAAACATAACAAGCATTCTGACAAAAGTCAACAGTCAAAGGCATCACAATGTGCATTAGCAAAACATGCATTCTAGCATTGATTTCTAGAATGCATGTTTTGAGCATCAGCTGTTAGCTTGTTTATTAATAGACAGTTATGACAAGGCTGCAAATGGTAGCAGAACCAATGACATTGTGTGAATGTGCACATGCAAAGTCATCAGCCTTAATTCTCAAGGGGTTTACTTCAGACAGCTGTGAATATTTGGCAGAGGTTCTCTTACAGCCTCTTTATTCAAAAGAGAGGTTTCTGTGTGTAAGTATATATATATATATATATATATATATATATATATATTTACCCTGTACTGTTTGATGAATCTTAAAGGTTTGGTAGGAACTTATAATGTATTAGTTCACTTAAATTTGCTGCCAGGAGACCTGAGCAAAGTGTATAATAATTTGTTTAATGCAGTTCATGCTCATTCATTTTGATGAACGTTAGGACATGGGTGAATAATGTAGCAGACCTAAAAATTTTAGTTATGCATTTTAATAAATTTATGAGAATTGATACCCAATTATGAATTTTTAAGATTCATAAAATCATTTTATTTAATTCCTTGTTTTGGGGCACCATCTGAGTTGTTATAATCCTAGAGTCTCCGGACCTCTAGGTAGTTTTGAATAATTATACAATTATTACTAGTGATCAGTTAGTTAATAATCGCTCAATTATCTTAAATCAGTCAGTCAGTCTCATATCTAAAGGGTCAATTCTCTTGGCAGGAACTATAAATAGGCAACACACACAGCTCTTGATTATATTACAGTGACTTTATTCTCTAACTAAGGTGATAAAAAGATGGTTGGATACAGGGAACATAAACATTTGCTGAACAATGAGCCTGTAGGTTCGGTTGTGGGAAGCATTTGACTCATACGGCATAGAAGAGCTACTGAAAGTAAAATAATGCTATAATTTAGGAGTTAAAATGGACATCTGATCACAGGACGTGTGTTAAGTCTTACTGCTCGTCGACAGCCTGCTTTTGGCCTGTTGCACGGGTCCCACGCTAGCTGCCGATCCTGGCTTTTTGCTAGGGATTCTGCAGGGTTCTCCGTGTCTGATTGAAACGCCTCCTCCGTCTGGCAATTCGGCTGTTTTCAGGTTTCCTTCGTTGTAGCTGGCGAGACCACGTGGCTTGGTCTGACCTCGGTGAAGTTGGCTCGACGAAAAAGGCTTAAAATGGAACTTGGTCGTTCCTGAATTAGTCCAGTGTAACTTAACGGAGTGATAACTTTAACAAAACAAAAGAAATAAATAAAATCAGGGCAGATCGATGTCGCGGCACTTCACGTGTGTAGCTTCAGGCGAACAAAAGGGCCTGTTTGTTTCGCTGGCCGAGTCTGGGCGTTGCCTGGCGAGGCACGCTGCGCGTGCCGAAGCATCCAGAGGGCCGAGCAGGGTGGAGGAGCCAACAGCGAAGCGGGGAGCGAAGCGGGGAGCGAAGCGGGGAGCGAAGCGAGGTCGCGTGTCGCTCTTTTGTTGTCTGGGGCGTGGTTCCCCAGGGGGTGTCTCAGGTTTCCCAAGGGACTGCCTTTCTAAACTTAATGTCTAAAGAAAAGAAATCTATTTGCACGTATTATAATCAAACATTTTCCACAATCGAACCTCAATGGTTGAACGGTTGTACTGTTCTAAGCATTTGGTAACAGGAAACAATTGTCACATTATTGGTCAGGATATTTATACATTTAACGGCATTTCCGATGAGGGCATGTAATACTTATTTTGCCCACTTGGAGGAGCTCAGGCTACATGAGGAAAGCTTGGATTACATTAGATGAAGGAGTGTCTTGCTGAAAATAAAAACACTGCACAAGTAACTTCTTTTCAGCACTAATATCAACAACAGATAGCAACAACAGTTAACATAACTACTCAAATAGAGGCAAACGTATTCAGGTAACTAAAGATTTAATTAGATTTAATTAAATGCTTTGAGTCTTTGGAGACTGCAGTCCTTTTACATTGAAAGTTCAGTGTCTGGACCATGTCACACTTAGGTGAGACAGGGGTTTTCCTTTTTGATGTGGTAATAAAACAAAGAATAAGGTCAATTGCTACGGAAACGTGTGTGGGGGGGCCAGTTTTGATAGGCTGTTCAGGGAGATGCGAATGGCTGGTTTGTGTCCCTTTGTCAGTTTAACAGTCAGGCCCCGCGTTATCAGCTTCGGAATCAAAAAGGTGCCAGTTTTATGGTCGGGATAGCACTTAGAGAAAGCAACTTTGACCCCTCCCTTCTTCTCTGGGGAGGAGAAAGGAATTTAGAGTAGCTCCAAATTTATTCAATATAAAATGCACAAATCCACACCGTTGTTCACTACAATAATCAGAAACATGTAATAATCAGAAATAAATTATTTATGTGGGTTCAGGCTTCAATTGGATAATAAAAGGGACTTTTTCCTCAGTTAATTATACATATCTCACTTGATGAAAAATGGTGCTATGTATTTTCTAAGAACTGTCCATTCTCTTTGGAAAACCACTATCTGAGATCACAACAGATATGTCATACAGAGGAAATGTAAATTTTGAAAGTACACTGGTTTAAATATCTTCTGTTCAAGTTTGCTATCAAGTAGCAAACTCTAGATGCTAAAAACATTGCAGAAAAAAAGAGAAAGAGTCATAACTATGTGACTGTTGTACCTACTGTTTAATGAATTTATTTAACACAAAGGCATATGCTGACTAATTTTGTTTTGTTTTCATCTGCATGCCTATGGGTCAAATGAGGTGTAAAGTGTTGTTGTTTTTTCCTTTCTCATTTTATTTTGGGCTCTGGCTCAGATCAATCTGTACAGAAATATTTCCATAGCCTTCCTGTAGCTCACTGGACGTGCCACAACATGGGGGCAGTGGGATCATGTTTTCCATGGAAAGCATAAAGAAAATATCCAGGCATTACCCAGGCAGCACAGGAAAAGAATAGGAATTCACAGCATGGAATGGAGTTTGTCTACAAAGCAGATAGTTCTTTACGTTTCTATTTGTTTTGCAGCTCATTGCCCCTCAGGTCATGTTCTCAGTGCGCTTCCATCACTCAGCGTTTGATATTTTTGTCAATAAATCAGTGCAAAGCACCCTGTGCCAGACATGCTCTCTGGGTCTCAGCTTGGCTAGAGTGAATACATATTTATTCTTGGGATTCAATGTGAAATTGTTTGATTTTTGAGCCGGCTGCTCACAACATTTCTGTTTGATTTGCTGAATCCAAAGGTCACAACAGTAGAGCATTATCTGCCTCATTTATGCATATGTTTACATACTTTCCAACTTGTATGTGTAGAACCAAGGCGCCAAAATGTCTGACTGAGGACATGGGGGAATGTCCTGCTCACTTTCTAAAGTCCTGTTTTTGTCTCCTTTTATTGTTTTAGGTTGAGGTCTCTCTTAACAGTGTCGTCTTGTCCTTCTACCATTGACCAAATGAGGACATGGGTTTATAAAAATACTGATACACTCATCTGAGATGCCCTCAATTATTACGATGCACTCAAAGCAATAAGCTTAATGATTTGTAGTGAGTGGTACTGTAAACGTAGGGCTTTATTGCCCTCAGTTTTGCTTCTCAGGCTACGAACAGAGTCACCTTGGAACATATATATATATATATATATATATATATATATAATATTTTCACACTTTTACAAATTTAATGTAAGTTCACTGGATAAATTTTATATTAAAGGGGAATGTTAATGAAAGTCAACAATGGGGTCAATATTCCTGTGTGTAATTGTTGTTTTAGTCATGTTTCTCTGAAGCACTGTCATCAGACTCCCATTTTATTTCTCCCATGAGCCCAGCCATTTATTCAAGTGAGTGCTTCTATATGTATGTCTCCATGTTATTACTTTTCAGAAATGGCTTATAGTATGTTGATACTATCTCCATGTGTTGTAGAGCGATAAAGCTGCAGCTAAAGATCCCATTCAAATTGCCTCTCTCCAGTGCTGCTCTCCTCTACCTATCGCGTCCTCCCTGGCCCTGGTGACCTGTTGTGTATCCAATTATTATGAGCATTTAAGCTACTGTGGTGTCAATACTATGTTGACCCTACAGCAAATCTGTTCTGCTTCAGCTGAGATAATTGTTTTCTTCTGAGGCATGTAAATAGACTTTTGGAATACACTCTTCATTCAAAATGAAATAAATGGGAACATTTTTCATTCATATCATCAGGTTTCATTCAAAAATTTAGAACCAAATGAGAGATGTGAACTCACGATGGGCCGTTTTCATCTCTTCAGACAGACCACATGAAGGATGGGACTCTACGTATCACCAACATCTCCAAATCTGATGGAGGCAAGTACACATGTGTGGCCAGAAACCATTTTGGAACATCCAGCAGTACGGGGACGCTGATGGTGAAAGGTATTTCTTCCTTTTGAATAGGTTTTCAGTACTGAACCTTTTTTTGTTTAAGGGAAAAACATACTAGTTCAAGCATGAAATTGATAATGAAGTATATAGCCGTTTTATGTTCTCGCGGTTTGACAGACGTATAAGTCATCCATGGTTTTGTCAGCTGTGAGTTATTGTTCATGTAGCAGAGTGGGGCAAACCACCGCCGTCTATTGCTGTGAGGAATATTTTGTCTCCCGCATTTAATTTAAAAAGAGCTGCTATAGCATTTTCAGATTTGGGTTTTTAAATAATGATAATTATAGAGCGAGAGTTCTTTTTTTCTTTCTGGTTGACATTGTGATTGCAGTGTGTTTAATTATTCATTACTGAGTTATGGGAGGCATTTGCTTCCTAAGTGAAGTTATTTAAGGTCACTTAATTACTCTGTTAGAGCAGACCCTGCCTCACTATTCTGGGCAAATTAAGCTTTATTACCTTCTTCATTTGGCTGTATTTTATAGAAATACAGTGACGAATACATACAATAACAAATGATTCTTCCTTTTTCCTTTCATTATGCTGTAGATCCTACCAAGATTATAGTTCCACCTTTGAGTTTGGATGCCACAGTGGGACAGAGCCTTGTGTTGCCATGCGAGGTGTCCAGTGATTCTTCCCTGAGTCCCATCTTCAAGTGGTTTTTCAATGGAAAAGCTATTGATTTCAACAGGCAGGAGCACTTTGAGATGATTGGAGGGGTATGTATAATGTTGTGATTTTAGTTGAGATTGAAGTTAAGATTGAAACTGCTGAGAGTTGTGAATTTCTACAAGTCTACCAGTCTGAGATAGTGTCGCCAGACCCCGGTCGCTGTAACACTTTGTGGTTACACAGGTATTCAGAGGCAGCTAAAATCTAACAGCGGAGTGAGAGGCTAGTACACCACTGAAACTGTACACCATAGAAACCACTGTTTGTCACCATGCCTCAAACATAATGAGCCCAAAGCTCGGTGTGGAGCTGGGATGTGTTCACATATGTTTTGCACTATACTCTGTTGTTGGCAAAGGAGGAAGGGGCAGTTCTTTCATTGCTGCTGGTTGTTTCTCAAACATCAATTGGAAAACTACGGAAGCCCTAAGCGGACAAATATTTTTCAAATATTCAAATATTTTTTTTACTCCGTTTTCCCGTGATAACAGGATAATCTTCTTGTGATCTCGAGATAACAAAATAGTAGTTTAACAAAATGGTCGGAACGTTTCTTAATGGTAGTTTTACTATGGCTTTCAGTATCAGTGGTTAGCTCAGTTGGTAGAACACAGTACTCATAGTCTAAGGGTTGTGTGTTTGATCCTGATGGAAGAATAACTTTTTTTATCTTTTTCATAATCCACTTCAACAAAGTTCTTATGAAGAGACTGTTCACATGCTCACAATAAAGCACATGCTGGATTGTGTATCCCAGTAGACATTCATCAACCTGTGGACTTTTCATTTCCCCATCATTCCCAGGCAGAGTAAATTCATTCGCTTCTTATTCAGGGGAATCCATTTAACGTTACACATTTCCTGATGGGTACTTTGGAACCTTTGAAATAGCCATCGCAAAATGTGTGATTGGATTCCCCTGAATCTGTTCATAACAACTTTGTTGAAGAGGATAATAAAAAACACACAAAAGAAGAACAAATTAGTTGCTACAAGCAGGAGTCAGTCCCTGCATCCTTGGATTACAAGTGCTGCACTCTACAAACTGAGCTAACCCCTGTCACTGTAATCTTAGTGGAAATTATCCTAAAGAAACGCACTTGCCGACTCCTGTATTCAGCTATGGTTTGTTATATTGAGATCACAAGAAAATGAACCTGTTATCATAGGAAAATGGAGAAAACAAAATTGTATCGCTTAGGTTGATAATCGCTTACGTTACAAATTGCTCCTGGCTCTGATTGGTTGTTTTGACTCAGGAGCTGTGGATTCTTGCAAATGGCATCATGAGCAGTAGGAGGAGCCAAAGGGAACCTGATTTATTTTTTCATAGATTATCTGTCTCATGTACTACTATCAGGATATAATGACAGTTTCAGCAAATATGCTAACTCCCTAAAATAACAAATTGTTGTTATGTTACTGTTTGTTGAAGATTAAACTTGTTAAAGGAATAGTTTTGGGAAATATTGCTTTCGGTGGAGAGTTGAAAGATGAGAAGATTGAGACCGCTCTCATGTCTGTCCTTTAAATATTACAGCCAGTTAGCTTTGTAGGGGTTATGTACTGTACTGTTCTTGGCTCTGAGCACTTGCCCGGCAACCAGAGACTCCAGGAAGTTACTGCCCCCAGCAGGGCAATTACCCTAAAATATATATACCTTGGGTCCAACAGTGGCCTTGGTACCCCACCACACTGTCCCAGCTGATTGATCCGGTTTTATCCTCTGCCTCTTTCCTGTCAGTACAGGTTTTTTAAACCTTTATTTAACAAGATGATGTCATTGAGATTTAAAACCTCTTTTTCAAGAGAGATCTGGCCAAAACTGCAGCATATTGACAGAGCACAGTTACAAATACAAACACACACAAGCACACCCACAACAACAAAGGACAATCGACACCAGTGTCTTTTGTTGAGATTCTGAATTCTTATTGGGCAACATCAAGTGAAATGCTGTTCACTTAACCTGTGGTGGGTTTGATTTAGAACCTGGTGTAAAATGGGTTATTTTTGATGATAGTTTGACACAAAATTAGCAAACCTGGTAAACCAGGAGACTTAATTGAATTCTTCCTGATGTGCCAGTGCTGTAAGGCTGTGATTGAGAGAAGAGAAGGTCAACTGAGCTTGGATATGTACATTTGAAAAATTAGCGAATAAGACAAGAAACCATAGTTGGACTCCCTGGCTGGCTATTTACCTTTATTGCCTTTTGTTCAACATGTTCAACGTTTCATAAAGTCGATGCTCTTGTCAGTGTCACTTTTCGTGAACTGACCAATCACAGCCTGTTGAGGTGGGAAAGGTAAACTTTCTCATTGTTATGTATGAATTTTTATGATTATTGAAAAGTTAGTACTTAAGTTTAACAAAGTTGAAAGTAATTAATCAATTAATCACCATTAATTAGTGAAATTCAGAATTTCCATGAATTTAAAATTACCTGGGGAGGGGGGTGATAGCCATGCTGCACTGGGATTTGACCTTTTGCCCTCAAAAAACACCCAAGCACCCAAGGCCAAGTGAACTTGCCCCTAAAATGATGGATTTCAAGGCCTGGTCCCCAGTCTTTTTGCTAAGCAAGGCTCACTGTGTCCTGGCTCTAGCGCCACAACATACAGACATGAGAGTGGTATCAGTCTTCTTCTCAATTGAATTCTCAGCAAGAAAGTGAATAACTGTGTTTCTCACAATGTCAAACTATCCTATTAATCACAGATCAAACTGATTGAATGAGAACATAAAGGTACCAGGGGGATTCTTGTTTTAGGGTGGGTTTGCCTTTAAGCCCATGTGTCAGAAACTGTGTACACTTAGATCAGAGATGCCCGCAGATGTTACTGTGAATTGCGTTTGAGGGGAGAACCTGTAAACGGGAAAGACATTTCTCCAGCCCGGACGTGATCACGTGACATGAGCCAATCAATTGATTTCTCCCTCAAAAAATGTGTTTTGTGTTGAATTTTGGTAATTACAAAATGTATGCCTCTCCTTGTTGAACACACCAGTCCCACTGAAGTTGTTGTACAACCCTGACATTCCCACAGTTAACATAATCACAACAGTTGTTTAACTTGCCTTCACTTTTTAGACAAAGGGACAGATTTCTGAATCCCTGTATTTTGTTTTGAAAATCATGTACAGTATGTGCATAACACTACAGTGCAAAAATATCTTAGTAGAGCCATTCATCTGAGCTGGAAGGATTCATATAAACAAAACAAACACTGATTCAAAGAAAAAAAAAACAGTTTCAAAACAACATGTTTTGTGTAGCTGTCCTTACAGTGTAACATTGAATTAATTTGTTTTGCTAGACTGTCATGTCATTTTTCTAGCAGTCTTGGGGTGAATTATTGTTATATATGTAAGATTTACTTCATATGAGTGGAAACTGAATGTGTTCTGAAGGTTTTCCGTATTTCTTTTTTTAAATTTCAACTTTGCTACTTTTGGTGTATTTCTTCCTCTCCAAGGCTTTATACAAATGTGTCATTGCCATTAGGGATTTGCAGGTGACCTGATGATGAGGAACATTCAGCTAAAGCATTCTGGGAAGTATGTGTGTATGGTACACTCTGAAGTTGACACTGTTTCAGCAGCAGCAGACTTAATTGTCAAAGGTATGTCTCTTCCTCCTTTCTTACAGTGCTTGTTATTTTGTAGAAGTCTCTGTGGAGGTTTTCAATGTCTTGTTTTTTTTTTCCAGGGTGAGTGTGTTCCTTAGGATTAACACACACATATTTCACTCCTGTCAGATAAGAGCTTTATCACCAAGTTGTCAGTTTTCAGAGATTCAGAGAAAAACAGCTTTAATAGACTTTCAGATTGACAACCAAGAATGTTTTGAAATTACAGAATTATTCTGTTTTTAACCCATGGGCTCTGTGATCAGTAACTTTAAGAGATACAGGTAAGTGACGCTAAAAGCTTCAGGGCTTTATAAAAGATCAGAGTCCAGCTTTATTCAAAACAAAAGCGCAGTCTAAAGTAAGTTTTAAAAAATGAACAACCTATATTCTGTGAGGACAAATTTAATGTTTAAACTACATAACTTTATAAATATATTTGAGGTGGATGTACTGTACTAAGCATCAGTGATTCATTTAATTTGATACATCATTTTGTATTATATAAATATATATAATATATATTTCTGGCATTTTTCAGTTATTGATGAGTATAATGTAGGGGTGTGACGAGATCTCGCACCAGATTAAATTATGATGAAAATTCTCGTAAGGTAAAACAGCTGAACTTGTTCGTACTGTGAGTCCAGTCAGTGGTCCAGACAGCTGTGACGAGTGGTAACGTAGCTGGTAGAGTTCCCCTTCGAAGGAACTCGAACTGCGTCGGTGACGACGCTATGGGAACGGGAACTATGAATGAAACTACTCCAATCCTATTGGTGTTACTAGAACGATAGTGTGTGACGGCGTAACCGGAGGGGGTATATAAGCACGCCGGCACATAGGACACATTAGCTTCTTTCTATTCAGCAGGCACTCTGGCTATGTTTGGAAGCTCCATAATCCTATCTGAGCAGCAGAACACGTCGAAGCGATTCCGACAGTGTGTCTTTCCATGTGAGCGTTTCATCACGGAAGGTGATACCCATGGGATGTGCGTCTCATGCGAGGCCCTGCCCCTGAGGGTGCTGAGGTCTCGAGCGGCTCTTTTACTAGAGGATGGTCGGATGCGCTCCCCCCATGGCACAGGCCCCGCGGTCGCTGAGGCGTCGCGGCAGCTCCGATCCTAGGGATCGCAACGCAGATCGCCGAGGGTGCCGGAACGGCTGAGGCCTTTTTCCGGTCCTTGTCCGCGGAATCCTCCTCCTTTCGTCCCCGATCGGGAGCCCGTTTCTCGGTTTCTCCCACTCGCGGGGTGAGTCCGGAGAGGCTGACACGATCTGGCTGTGAGGAGCTAGATGTGCTTAGCATGGAGAATGACTTCGGGGAAACGGAACGTCATCAGCCCTCGCCAGGATACGAGGAGTTGTTAGAAGTGGTGACGCGGGTTGTGGCCAAGCTGCACATTGAGGCGGTGCAGCAGCCATCGGTGGGCAGCAAACTAGACGAGCGGTTTCTGCAACACCGAGCGCCAACCCCGCGTCAGCCCCTACCATTTTTCTACACAACTCGATCCGGATCCAAACCCTTCTCTGGAACAAACCCTTCTCTGCACGGCTTTCTACGTCCCACCGGCTGGACTACAGCAACGTGACTGAGATCAGACAGCACGACTACGGAGCGATGCCTCGAGTGGAGGATCCACTGGCTAGCTACCTCTCTCCCAACCTCGCCTCATCCCTCCGGACGCCAGCGCTCCCCACCAAGCCGTGTCGGATGACGTCCGATTTGGTGGGCAAGGCCTACATGGCAGCGGGTCGAGCTGGTGCCAGACTGCACACGATGGCTGTCTTGCAGGCATACCAGGCCGATATCCTTCGGGACTGTGGGGGAGGGGGAGGTCCCTCTGAGGAGGACCTGACTGAGCTCCGTAGAGCGATGGACTTAATATCGGATTTAATATCGCTCCTCGAGGGCCCACCCTGGCAGGTCCCTCTGAGGAGAGACCTACTGTCCCAGGCGGAGGGCCGGATCTTTCACCCGCACCCCGCCCTGTGGCAGCTATGGGTCTGGCCCCTGAGGGGGCGCAGTTCCTAGAGGCGGGCCTGACGACAGGAGCAGTCGAGACGCTGCTCAGTTCCAGAGCTCCGTCCATGAGAAGGATGTACGGCCTAATGTGTTCACCACCTGGTGCAAAGAACGGGCGGTGGACCCAGTTACCTGCTCGGTAATTGTGATACTGGAGTTCCTCCAGCACCATTTCTCCGCTGGCCTCTCCCTGTCCACAAGTGTATGTGGCTGCCATTGCAGCATTCCACGCCCCTCTGAGTGATGGGACCTTGGGGAAGCTTCCACTGGTTGTGCGCTTCCTCCGTGGAGCCCGGAGGATGAGACCCGTGACTCGTTCCAGGGTTCCCACCTGGGACCTGGCAGTGGTCCTCGCTAGCGCTGGCTGAGGCCCCTTTGAACCCCTGGAGTCGGCTGAGGCCAAGCACCTGACCCTTAAGATGACCTTTCTCCTCGCTATCACCTCTCTGAGGAGGGTGGGGGATCTCCAGGCACTTTCGGTTTCTCCCCGATGCCTGGAGTTTGCCCCGGGGAGGGTCAGGGCCATCCTGCACCCTTGTCCAGGTTATGTCCCTAAGGGTCCACGGTGCTGCAGGCGTTTCATCCCCCACCTCATGTGACGGCGGAGGACGGGAGACTTCATCTGCTCTGCCCTGTCAGAGCACTGAGTATTTACACTCTGAGGTCTTCCCGGTGGAGGAAAGCAGACCAGTTGCTGGTGTGTTTCGGGTCCCCCAAGGCTGGGCTCCCCGCTTCTAAACACACCATCAGCAACTGGATCGTTCAGACTATTTCCCTGGCCTATCAGGTGCGCGGTTTGCCTTCACCTATGGCCGTAAGGGCGCACTCTACTCGAGGCATGGCGGCTTCTAGGGCCCTCCTCGCAATCCACTCCAGGATTTGTGTGACGCGGCTGGCTGGGCCACCCCTCACACTTTTATCCAGTTTTACAGTTTGGACCTTCCTTCTGCACCCAGCACCCATGCGCTCTCCTCCTAGTCATGCCGTCAGGTTCTGCACGCTGGGGGCAGGCGGGGTTTCGGCGCGGCCTAAGTGGGTATCTCGTTCCCATAGTGTCGTCACGTTCCCCTTCTCAGGGAACAAGGGTTACATACGTAACCCGAGACGTTCCCCTTCGAGGGAACTCGAACTGCGTCGGTCCGCCACACCTCACCCCGCCTGGAGTGCCTTGCTTCATAGAAAGGGCTAATGTGTCCTATGTGCCGGCATGCTTATATACCCCCTCCGGTTATGCCGTCACACACTACCGTTCTAGTAACACCAATAGGATTGGAGTAGTTTCATTCATAGTTCAGCCCTGCCACGCCCAGAGGCATTCCCATAGTGTCGTCACCGATGCAGTGTCTCGTTCCCCTTCTCGGGGAACAAGGGTTACATACGTAACCCGAGACATAGCATGGTCTGACTGTGAGCTGCACAGGAAGTTAACGTGTAAGGATCTGTGGTGAGATTTCTTTCTGCCTCAAGTGTTTCATTTACTTTGAGTTTCACATGCGACACGCAGTCCCAAACTGCGTCGGTCAAGCGGTCTGAAGGGGATAACGTTCCTACCAATGGATCAATAACGTCATGCACCACAAAGTAAAGTGCAGACAGACTTCTTTTCAAATGATGTTATTCTCATTGTGACTTTTTTCTGTACATGTCAGAGAACACTGATATATGGGAGAGATTCTGAATGTGCAGAAACTTTTGACCATGAGACTAAATCATAAATCAGCAGGGATGTTAAATAAATTAAATAAGGTGATCTACAGCAGAAACAGATCTGAAAGGAGCACAGAATGACTTAGAGCTGTACTGAATTATATTCTGTTATACTTAGGTTATAGATTTTGAATCATCACCTGTCACCTGAATTTTGTGTTTCTCTTTATATAAATAAAATAAAAAATCACCATAAACTGGTGCAGAATGCAGGAAATAAAGTGTTTAATGCTCACAATTTTCTGATAATTCAGCCTTAAAGATTTCTTAAAAATAGTGTGAAAATCTCGTCTTGTGTTGATCTCGTGAACCCAATCGCGAATCTTGTCTCGTCTCATGGGTTAAGTGTCTCGTCACACCTCTAGTATTATGTGATCCTTACTCAAAAAGGTTACAATTTACCTATTACTTGTTTAACATTAGTGTAATAGCTGTCACTTCTGTTTATTCCTGATGATCCATTTTCAAGTTTTTGACTTAAGAACAAGTAACAAGTTTTTCATCTATGAAAACCGGTTTGTTGTTGTAAACACTGAGCTGAAGTGCACCACTACCAAATGCAAGTAATATAATATATATAATAATAAGACTAAAAGCATTCATGTTCAATTTTTCCTTGAACTCTAAACGTAAACTACATATATTGTGTGTTAACACATTATAAAACATTACTGTAATTTTGGCTCTTTTGGCTAGAAATGCATTTTAATCAGTACTAATCTGACTCCGGTTTTCATGGGTAAACATTTTTAAAAGGAATTTAGAAATAATATTGTGGAAAAAACATTTTTTCACCTGTTCTCAAGTCGGGTGAAAACAACTATTTAGATCAGACTTAGAAAATGGATCACCAGAATGTTTTTCTCTCAAGGCTTTTGTAGTATTTTAAATTTATTTATAAAAATTTGAGTGGAAATGCCAGAAAATAATCAAAAAGTCAAAATATCACAGAAAATGTGACAAAGTGCGTTGTAAACAAACTCAGTAAGAAAAATTGGAGCAGTGGTCTTTAACAATCTCCAAATCACTACAAAACACAAACAGAAATGCCATATTTCTGTCATGTTTTCTAGATGGTTTTTCACCTTTGCTCTTTTAATTATCTTGTTGGGGCCAGATTTCCTCCTGTGGTTTAATGGCACCTGACTAAGCACCATCAAAAGTTTATCTTAATTCCCCCAACTCCTAATATTTGCACAACAGTAGTGGATGGAAAAATACATTAATTCTGACTATAATCAACAAACATCTGACTTTACTCAGTTTTTTAAATCTATGGTGTTGATTCTATAATGTGTTCACACTTTACTTATCAGGTGATGTGGTGTCATGATGATTTTCTCATCACGGCTCACTAGTCTACTCCATTTTGTTTTAGCAAAGACAAAAATAATAGCCTTGTTTACGGGATATGTAATAGATCAAACAGACAATTCATATTAGAAACACCACCCACAAGAGTGCAAGGCACAGCCTGTTGCTCTCATACACTGTGACTTTTGAATTTGAAATTGATCATTACCAATCAAATGGTTTTTTTTACCCATTAAAAGACTGAGGACACTGATATCCTCAAGTTAAATGGTAGGATTTTAATGGCTCATACAATATTTTGACTTTTGTTGTAATCACAAAGACCTGAAAGGAGGAGGTCACGTATGCATAGACAACTCCCACATTCAAGGACACCTTCTGGTTTCTTTCAGAAAGGCACAGTGGACCTCAGTATGCTCCAAAAGGATCATGGGATAGAAAGTGGAGGGTTGTGGTGATTAAGTATTATGTTCTCAGCCAGTCACACTATTGTGTCAGTCACACCTATGACGGAAATATATAACCACATGGTGAGGAAAGTCCAGGCTGGCCTCACCAAGCAGTAGAATAATACTGTTGTCTGGGACGTTCAGATTTGCAAAGCATGACATCAAGAGTCTGTAGCTTTTACATACGGATTGTATGTTTCTGTATGCATAATCTGAATCCAACCATTGTTGATACCCAGTGATCTTCTTCTAGCAGCAGCTTGTCCCGCTGAGGCTCAGTGCTACTTTTGCAGATTTGTGAGCTTAGCAGGAAATCTCTTGTCAGTCATCCAAGTCCCAGCCTGTTTGTTTGATCTCATGCTGCTGCTTTCACTAATTTCAGTGAGATCCCAATGGAAAATGCTTCCTTGTTTTTCCAAATCCATGGTCATTAATTGTCTCTCTGTGCTATTGTTAAATGATGATCTCTCGTCTTTTGGTTGTCTAGTTTGGGCAACCACTTATATCTCCATTAGCTGTAAATTGAGGTTGTTAGCTGAGTTATGAATAACTTAACACCTGGGTGGGATCTGGCATGCTTACCTGGAGCCATTTCATTTCTTTTGGCTGCTGATTGACATTGATGCAGGTTGTCTGTCCTTGTTTCTGGATGTTCAGGACCTCCTGGTGCCCCGGAGGGCCTGGTGGTGACTGACATTACAGACACCACTGTGCAACTGTCCTGGGGCTCTGGACCAGACAACCGCAGTCCTATTACCATGTATATGGTGCAGGCCAGGACCCCCTTCTCTATAGGGTGGCAGACTGTGAGAACAGGTAACAGATGCCCCACCATCAAACATTTTTTTCTCAATTAGTCAGTACTGAGGAATTACCCTGTAATATGTGATTTTATTGTCATTTAGATGCTCCTCTCTTTCTCAGATGCATTGCTTGTAACAGAGAAAAGCTGAGAGATCATTCTATTATTGACATCCTATAAAAACTTTGCAAGCTGTTTACTGAGCGGTCATGTTCCAAAAACACTGGATCCTGGTGTCTTTTTTTAGAGCCTCCCTGCCTGTGCTATGTCCACGTCTTTCAAACTCCACTCCCCAAGTACACAACACAGTCTTCCTGAGATAACCCTGATGACAGGATTTTTTTCTCTGGGTTATTTTCTCAGAAGTCTCACTCAAGGACAATATGTCGGTGGAAACGAGGGAGGGGACATAGAGAAACTGTTAACTTCATTTCTTAACAGTACTCCAATGCAACAAACTGCTGCACCTCGCTTCCACTGTCGTCTTCCTGCAACAACTCATGAGATTTCACAGCGAGAATTGTCCTTGAGTGAGACTTCTGTTTCCTGTTAAAAGCGAAGGGTGTCACAGGGAGTCACTTCCATGATGTTGTCCGACACCTCGTATAACAGTCTGAGTCTGTCAGTGGCAAAAAGAAGCATTTTTTGTGGACACAATTTTAATGGGCACAATTGCGACGACGCAATATGTTGCAGCCACTGCAGCCGGCGGCTGCCTCCTGAAGCCATATACCGCACTGAAATATGTATGTAAAATAGGGCCCAGGTTTAAAAATACCCAAATTACTCTTTAAGTTGTATGCACATCACAAGCAAAGTTTGGATTTTTAAAGGAGACCTATTATACTTTTGCACATTTTATCACTTATCTACAATGTTATAGTGTTGGATGTCCATGTAAAACATGGCCAAAGTTTCATAAAATGAGGTTAAAGCATTTATAAGAAATCACTGTGAGCAAAAACCTCAGGTTTCCTCCAGTTCAGAACGCTCTGTTTTGAACAACTGCTTTTTCTACCAACGGCTCCTTTCTATGTATTACTGAGGCAGACCAAGCCGGTGTTCCATATATGGTCATGTACTCCCACACTAATGGCAAGGCAAAGCTCGTCTGCCTGTTCCACCCAGCACCAACAACAGCCTGGTAACATGCTTCAGGTCTTATCCAATCAGAAGACAGTAGACTTTGGGGGGGGGGCTTAAAGAGACAGGAGCATTTACAGCTTGTTCAGACAGAGACTGAAATGAACGCCTACATGAAGAGTCAGTATAAGAAAAAAATATATGCATAGCTGCCGTACAGGAGTCAGACCTACAATATAGGACTGGAAAAGCTGTATAATAGGGCTCCTTTAACTTACTTGGTTATATAAAGTCAGTATGAGAAGATATCAGCCTTTCCTTCATATTTCGCATACTCCATACTACTTACCAGAACATTTGGCAGAAATAATCATTAGAGGTTGATTAAGTTAAATGCCTCCCTCATATTTACATTAACTTCATCCTTCCGAAACCTCATCTCTGTTATATTTAATATTACAATATCTGAAAGACGCTGGTTTAAAACATAACAAGCCGATTAAAGGAAGATGTTTTGCTCAGTAATGTCAGCAGTGTTAACTGTAGCGACCTCATCTAACAGCTTATTATATAATTTCATTTATGTGTAAAATTGCATTGTGAGATGGAGGCATTGATGTGCAATATCCACAGAAATTAAAGAACGTGTAGAGCTCTGTAATTGGAACAGTATTAAAAGATTTACATATGTCACCGTTTCATTTTGATTTACTTCACTGGTTTATGAAATGTTTTTATATTTGTTGAAGACAAAATGTGAAATATGACTGCAATAATAAAAGACAAAACACATCTCAATTCTAAATTCTTTCATCCTAGTTCCTGATTCTGTGCCTGGACAGATGATGCATGCAACAGTGAAAGATTTGAACCCCTGGGTGGATTATGAATTCAGGGTGGTGGCAATCAACAGTGTTGGTGTTGGAGAACCAAGCACACCATCAAAACAGATTCGAACCAAAGCAGCAGGTATCCTCTCAATTTGTTATACTCTTCATAATAAATTAATCTGTCCCACTAGGAAAATGGAATTTAACAGTTTCCTTCAGTGCTCTGTGTGATGCTACTCATTTCAAATCTGTTGTCCGCTTTTTATGCCACTAAGTGGACATTTAATAACACTTTTAAGGAAAAACACTAAGCTTGTGTGTTAGCACTCTGGAACTTGTGCCATGATTAATTAATAGTTGCATCAACAGAAAATGTGACCTATCCACACATGTCATGAAGCAACTACATGAAAGCGTCTATTTTCAGCTGAGTAATTCCATCCTGCTGGTTGAATCACAATCAAACTAGTTTCCAGTTGGCCCATTGGGCTGACATGAATGGTGATGCCACTGTCAACAAAAACTTAAGTCCTCTGCTGTGTGATTACCCATTTTGTGTAAATAAGAAGCTTTACAGAGTGGCTGTCATCTCATTCAAAGCTACGTGGTTTAACGGAATCCTCTGCACCTGCCTTAGACATGACAGTCCAAACTGAGGGATGATTAAGTTTCCTTTGTGCCTGTTTAGTTCCCAAGGTTGCACCAGTTAATGTGAGTGGAGGCGGAGGAGCTCGAGGAGAACTTGTCATCATGTGGGAGGTAAGAGGATCATGGGCATTTTTCAGTGGGCATTCATTGTGACAGAGGATTCTTTGGATCTTTTGACGAGAATGGACTTCTGGCAGAGTTACTGTGTCTGCAGTGGTCTGGCTACAGAGCAAAGGCTTTCAATTAAAGGCAGAGCTTTTCTGATTTGCTGCCTGCTGACTGCCCCTGTTGTGTAAATCAAAATGGAGATACGGAGCTAGTGCAAATTTCATATGCGTAAATCTAGAATAGGTGACAACTTTACATTTTTTGGACGCAGTTCAAAGCACAAAAAAGATGCTGTATGTGCAGAATAGTTTGTTAGACATAAAACACTATTTCTACTTTACTTTTTTACAACAGCCTAATTAAATTCCTGCTCACAGTTGTTTGGGTCAAAGGCGTAACTTTTCTGTCCCTATCTCAGCCAGTTCCAGAAGAACAGCAGAGCGGAGAGGACTTTGGCTATGTTGTGGCTTTCCGTCCAATTGGCAGCAGCACCTGGATCCAGACAGTGCTGGCTTCACCTGATGCGTCGAGATATATTTACAGAAATGACAGCATTGCACCCCTGTCTCAGTTTGAAGTGAAAGTGGGAGTCTATAACAGCATGGGAGAGGGAATATTCAGCCGTGTCGTCAGAGTGTTTTCAGCAGAAGAAGGTGACATAGTCACCTGTATTTCAAAACAATGTATGCTTTCACTCTTAATTGCAAATATGCATAATTCATAATCTCTCCTATTTAGAGCCCTCTGACGCGCCATCAAAAGTATGGGCCCGTGCTGTGTCAGCTTCTGAGATTGAGGTGTACTGGGAGCCAATTCCCCCCAGGTCCAACAGTGCAAAGATCATTGCATATGAGGTATGAAAAAGAAAAGTTGAAATAATAGTGCTTCAAGGAATATTCAAACAAGGACTCAACATTAATCCCTGAACAATTGACAGTACATTAAGCTGGCATTCATTTAAAAATAACAGAAGATGGCAACAATGCAGAAATATTCTGACTTTAAAATACTGCAGGTGTTGGAGCGGCAGATTTTTCGCAAGCTAATCTAGGGGATGAAGAGGTCTGTTGGCAGCTGTTCCAGTCTCCAAAAGACCTCAATACCAAGGCTGTCTGAGAGCTGCTATTCAAAAAATTAAAATCACTATTCTCTACAACAAACTCTCTCTGGGATTTGGCCGTGCAAAAACCTAGATAAAAATAACATTCTCTTCTAAACCCCAGATATTTTACATGGTAGGGTATGCCCAGGTGTCTGACCTCCACTGAGACGCTTTGAGGTCAAGTGTTTGGCGCACACCTTGTTATGAGACAGAGGTTTGGAACACCATGATGACAATTTTGGGAGCTAGAAAAGCATTGTACCTGATGTGTGCATAAATATTAATGCTAAACATAGGGAAACACATTTAAAAAAGTTGGCTCCAATATAAAAATAAAGCTCCGTAACAATATAAATGCTTTTGAATAACTTATAAAGAAAGAAAGAAAGATAAGAGACAAACACAAACTGTATTAAATATTTTATTATCTCAGTGTAGGATTTACACTATTAAACATGACATTATTTTTTAAGCTGGGTGGACCAGCTTAAACTGACAAGTGGTTCTTCAGCATGTGGGTAGATATTAATTCAAATTGTCACAATGTACATGTTCCTTTATTTATCTGATATAAGCTTAAATTGCCACACAGCACTATTGCAGCCCATCAGCAACCGGGGGCGTTCATACCCGTGCCTGCTATTCCCCCTCTTCCACAGCCTCGCCCATGATGAGCCATTCACCTCACATTCTTTCCCTTGGAATTACACATCATTGTCTGTGTAACGTTACTCGTCCCGCTTATGTGCTCCTCCGTTGAATTACACCATAGTAACAAGAAAATCTCAATAATGTCAGAGATATAACCCTGACTTGTTATTTTCTTCCTTATTCTTTTAGAATTTGTAATAAACAACCTTACTCCATGTATCAATGATGGTAGAGTTACTGTTGAAGTTACTAGCGATAATGTTGCGTATGCATAGGCTAAGCTACTCTTACCTTACCCTTAACATACCCTCAGGCAGCAGTTGCTCAGGATTCTGCAATATTTCTGTTTTGACCAGCTAGCCCAATCGTTAGTGCCATTGCCTTGGCAACATGTTCCCTGAGTTTCAGGGGCGAAGCTTCTGAAGGAGCACTGAATGGAGGGGTGTATTTATTTGGCTCATATATCACCACTCTTTCCCCAGAGTTTCCAGTACTGGATAATTACTCTACTGGTCAGTCCAAGTTAAAAAAAATACTGATTGATGGTACAATCATGATGATGATTTTTATATTTTTAATTGTCACCTGTTGCTTGAATGACCCTTTACATAAATAAAGACATTTCTGCAGACATTGGTGCAGAAAAAGGGATGGTATACCAGTGGGCATAATGACACGTATGTTATCATGTGGGACTTGAGCCATGGGAGGAAAGACACCCAGAAAAATATCTGACAATGTTGGGGGTTTTTATGCACATTATAAAAACATTCGCCCATTCAGTAAAATTATGGGCACTTACAGTTATGACATTCTTTTTTAGACTATTCGAAACCAGGTTCAGTACCTGGTGGTATGATGCACTTTCCTGCCACTGTCTCCATAATAAGACTTTAAGATACAGCATGGCAGCTTAAGTCTCCTTAGATCGCTCTCTTTCATCCTTCTTTGAGCATATGTTTATATTCTCAGCAGAGGTGGTGTTAAAAGCTGAAAACTTCTTTTGCTCAGGTATTTTAGGTATTTTCCCAAGTGTTGGGAAAACTGCTACAATTAAATTGCTGGTGGGGGGAAAAAAAACATCCTAGATGCATCTGTTATCAGCAACTCCAGGCTCTGTCGCTAATCTGCCTTTCCCTAGCAAGATCTGTGAAAACCCGTGTGCAGCCAATTGAATAAGTACCTACTCTCAAACCATCTGTTGGACTGTCTGGTTTTCCTGTCTCGTGTTAGGGTCATAAATGATCTCCCTATGAATACAGATTCTGACAAGGTCCTTATCCTTGTACTCCTCACTCCCAGTGTTGCTTTTGGTATTGCTGATTGTCAGATACACTATCACTTGGTAGTTTAAAATGTGGGTTGGACTGCGCAGGACCTACAGTAGCTGATCATATTAACATATTACATATACATATTTAAAGTTAGGTCCTGTAGAATCACTGCTCCAGCATATTACAACTTAAATCTAAATAACCCAAACTTGAGTTAAGTGAAAACAGAAGTCCCAAAATGAGAAGAATAATACTAGAATAATATTGTAGCTCTGTGTAAGCCATGTGTCTTTGGTCCAGGTTCTCTTTTGGGAGAAAGGATCTCTGCAGAGTGAAGCAGAGAGAGTGAGTGTTATCAACACCACAGCTCTGCTTTCTGGCTTGAAGGGCAGCGCAGTCTATCTGATCTCAGTCAGAGCCCAAAACAGTGCTGGACTTGGACCCTGCAGCCCTGCTCTTAACATCACCACCAAGAAACCACGTGAGTCCACACACACACACACACAGGACACAAAATGTTCTTTATTTTCTCTTTGACAGCCTTTTACTCAAACCTTTACCTTTTTCTTTGACTTACTTGCACTTCCTAAACAATACGGTGAGTTCAACTAGTGCAGTTGTACAGGGGCCAATTTGACGCCTCCCTTGCTTTTTGTTCGAAATGTCTGTCTCACATTGGTTTCACCAAGAGCAGCAGTCGGCAATAGGCGGCCCGAGGGCCAAATAAATAAATGAATACATAAATAAATAAATACTTATAGATCTCAGTCGAGACAGCAACATTTACTTACATAATCACTTCCTCTTAACTGTGCCTACAAAATAAAAGCGTGAGAAAGTTTTTTGTTTTATTTTGAGTTGAATTGAGAGCTTTTACTTTGAAAAGGTCTGCAAGACATTCAAAAAGTCTGTGGCTTGTTTAACGCACCTCTAAAATAGCCGTCAAGAAACATGAGATGAAATGAGAAGCGCAGGAGTTTTCTCCGCCTGGAGATGCTGGGGAAATGAAAAAAAGCGTCCATAGGTTGATGGATGTGGATCAATCGCCGGGACACACACACTCCAGCACATGCTTTAATATGAGCATATGAAACAGTCTCTTTATTGTTAATGTGTTGAAGAGGGAAAAAAAAGTATTTTTGCACAAGAGGGAACCAAAGTCACAACCCTTGAATTGAAAGGCCTGTGCACTATTTACCAAGGTTATCATAGTTTTGGATTTTTCATTAGTTTTTATTTTTATTTCATTTTGACTTTTTGTTTTCAGTTTCAGTTTAGTTTAATTAGTTTTTAATGTGGGTTTGTTAGTTTAGTTTATTTTTTGAAAATGCTTAGTTTAAGTTTAGTTTGCAGGATGCCAAGCTTAGTTCAGTCCAACTGCTTTCAGTTTCAGGTGACAGTTCACCTGCTTCAGCTCTTATCCCTCCACTGTTACTTCACCTACTTTCCATATTTACATACTATAATAAACTGTCTACGTGCGTAATTAAACTGAGATTTCACATTCTTTCAGCTCTAACAGAAATGACACCTCAGCTTCTTCGTATGCTTAAGCTTCAACTTGCACTTCAAACTATTTCAGAAATGTAACGCAACTGACACTTCAACCCATTAAATGCTTCAACCCACTGTAAACTGTGACTCCATATTATATTCCCATATGAGTCAATACAACATAAATTGGCTTGAATCTGCACTCAGTGTCTAGTCTTGTGCTAAATGTTTTGCAAATCATGTATGCGATAGTTGTGTGAAAACTAAAGAGAACTGTGTGTAAAGAACAGAAATCATTAAAGGATGGGTTCGGTTCAGTGCAATTTCAAATCTGAGGCCAGTCCTTCAATCCAATACATTATTTATTCATTCATTCATTAATTTTATTCAATTATTTATTATCTTCCCCATGGTTGGACTAGTCTCAAGTAAGCATGTCAATTCCTCTGTCTACTTCAGCTATCTTACAATTTCGTGTCATATTCTATGTTGTTTTCTGTTAGGCCTTTTTTGCATTTCATGACGTTGTTATAGTTGTAATTGTTGTCAGTCTGTTGTTTTGCACTAATAAATTGAATAAAAAAGCAGCCATACCACCTAAATCAGAACCATTCTCAACCACTGAAGCTGTTCACTGAAATATAATACCATAAATACTTTTCTGCTGCTTCAGAGTGAACTTTTCATTTCATCCTTGTTAGCTGTGTTTTCACACACATAAATGAAAAGGTAATTAAAAAGTGTGCATTGTCTATTTTTCTTGACCTCTATTTTTCTCCAGTGTGATCCAAATAGATAGAATATATATTATGAAATGCATTCTGCTGCAACACCAGATGATTACTGCAGAATTAGTTTAGAGAACACTATTGATGACATTGGTGTGTGCATTCATCTGTGAACCATGTGTCTGTATAATTACATATCTTGCAGCTCCAAGTCAGCCTCCAGGGAATATCGAGTGGAACCTGACCAACTCTAAGATCTTTCTAAATTGGGAGCATGTCAAGGCAATGGAAAATGAGTCTGAGGTGACAGGATACAAGGTGAGTTTGTCAGAGTAATAGCAGAAACTCCAGAACTGGGGAAACAAATAGAGCCTCAGCAGCTGTCATCCCAATAAATGGCTTTCTCATTGCAGTGGAAAGATAGACCTCAGCGCCCAGTGTTGCATTATGGATTGGCCCTGTCTGGCTTTTCAAAATTAAAAGATCTGTTCCAGGTGATAAAATCAAAGGTGCCATGCCACAGAAGGAATTCAGCTTTTTCCAACCAGTACAACAATGAATCATATATGATCCGCTTGGCATTCCTTTTTGGTTTTTGTCGTAATATATACATATAGAGAGAGAGATAGAGTCTCGAATGCTATGCAGACCTAGTAATTTAATGACAACTTTTGTGAAGCTCTGTAAGGGAGCGAGCAGTGCATGTAGACAGAAATAGTTGCAGAGGCAATATTGAAATAAAATATTGCTGCATTCTGATGAAGATCTGCATACATGACGAAATATGCAAAAAGGACATCTGAAGTCATGTTTTGAAAAGCCTATGTTCCTTCACCTTCACTCATCAGACCAAACCAGCAACTCGCAAGGCATTTGGAATTCATTACCTTCTCTGAAATTTCAAATGCGAGAAAGGGACCATTGTTTATGCTTTGTTTTTCATACACTGACATTGAATGAAGTCATGCATCTCATTGCTAAAGGGTCGTGATGGTTATTTCTGACTGTTATGGATGAAGAATGAAATGTTGACCGTAGGATCCACACTCTCCTCCAGGTTGTACATCGTCAGAACTGGCATGGCAGGACTACTGTATTGGAAACCAATAAGACCAGTGTGGAGCTGCAGATTCCCTCTGGAGAGGACTACCTTATTGAGATAAAAGCACTGACTGAAGGGGGCGATGGCACCAGCAGTGACCCCATCTGCATACCAAAGATGTCCAGTAAGTTTCAAATACTCTCCAGCATGCAAATGATTAGAGCTGGAATTAAGCAGAAAAGCATTGGGATGGGTGCACTCTCTGTAACTAATCCCCTGTGTGACAGATACTATTTATCAGCTTTTCCATAGCTTGAACAAGGCTTTCAGAATACACATAGAAATTGCAATAAGACTACACCAGACTAGGAAGATGAGACAACAAAACATTCATAGTGAACTCTGTGTTTTCAGTCCAATCTAAAAAAAAAATCAGTGACCTTGGGCAAAACGTTCTGCCATGGGCTGTGGTGTTTTTTTTTACATGGCCCATGGCAAAACTTGTTGTTCACCACAACAATACAAATTTCATCTAATATTCATGAAATTTGTTATATGATGTAGTGAAAAAGTGAGATTGCAGCCAAATCTAGATGACACATGTACATATGAACTCCAATAGATGCACTAGGTTTTGGTGGCATTTGGCCTGTATGTGACATTACAGCAACTTGATGACACTGTCTGCCCCGTGGATTTAGGTGTTCGCGAAAAATCAGCGAGATAACCTATCATCGTGTGTACCTTGATGCCCATCTGCACCCAGATGCAGATAATAAAAAAATGTACATGCTGTATTTTCAAATTTTTCAAATGTAATTTGTAATGCAACGTTTTGTACCATCTATGTGCTATTTTATTACAAGCCCAATATGCTGTGTTGCATGGTATATGCATATGCTGTATGCATGGTTAATATTTCTTTTCTTTTCTTCCTAGGTCTTAACTCAAAAGGATATGTGTGTCCAGAACCAATGAAGATTTGCTGTGTTATGTTTTTTGTATGTTCTATGTTCATTTTGTAGGTTCTAATGCCTTTATATTTAGCTCTGGACATTAGAATGAATTTAGTTTACGATTCTTTTATACAGATTTGTGGAATAAGCAGATAACTAGAGAGTTTATCAACAGCTGGTTTGCAAACCAAAACTGGATGATAGAAGCGTTTTCAAATGCCCACAAATCTGTGGCTGCACCGTTACTCATAGGCAACAGCACTGTTACAAAACATTTTCATCTGCTTATTTTCAGGACCACTTCAATCCTGCATTTGATAAAAATGAAAATTCATTAATTTTGAACTGAACCTGAGCACCGGTTCATGTTTCCAAATTCCACTGTCTGTTTCCACCTATCTTGCCTCAACTTAAAAGTTATTTATTGGCTAGTAGGCCTACCTCTCACTAAATAACCTACAAGCACATCACAGTTTGCTTACTTTGTTCCTGAGTTAACTAAGCTCGGCTCCTTATTCTAACCCCCAAACAAACGGCAGTTTTTGCCTTAAAATTGTACTCCACTGACTTAGCATTGCACTCCTATAAAATTGCTGGAGTCAGGGTGTGTTGTGCTAGTAGCGGCTAATTTAGCCTTGAGCCCAGTGGTTTTCATACTTTTTCTGTCACAACCCCTTCAGAAGTCAAAAATTTAAAAAAATGACTGCGTTTCATCTACTGTAGATTTTCAATCCAGCCCTGCATATTGGCTCAATGGCATTGTTTGCTTACACGCCTAAATAGAACAAAGCCATCATTAATTTGTCTCTGAAGGTTCTCAGCCATCCAGGTTATATTATCCAAGGAAGGTTAAAGTCAAGAGCAACTGTACTTGGTTGCAGATACTTGAAGATGTTTCGTCTCTTGACCAATAGACTTTGTCAGTTCTGACTAAGGCCACATCCACACTACTACGTTTTTGTTTTAAAACAAAAACAATCTCTGTCCACACCAGCGTTTTAGCTGCGTTTCAGAGTTGATCTCTGGTGGCATGCGCGTGCCGGTGTAAACAGGAAGCAGATGGTCTGCTCTGATGGTCTTCTGCAGTTGCAGAAGATTTGGCGAAAGAATAAAGTAATACAGACAAAGAACCACACAAGAGGTTTTTTTTGCATTTGCACCAACAATGAGCTGGAACTGTTACTGAAAGTACAAAGCGACTGTGGCAGCGGAAAACGAAGTAAATACGGCGACATGCACTATAAGTGTTATTTTCACAGTACAAAATATTTTAATAAAAATACCAAAACAATAGTGTTGTGTTTTTGCTTTGTATGACTTATAAGACTCAGTCAGAGAGCCAAACGTGAGCGTCTGTGTCATTGTTTTAAAAGTCTTCCGTTTCACCTGTCCGCACTAAAACACTAACCCAGAGTTTTAAAACGAAAACGACCTAAGCAGTGTTTTCAAACGTTCGGTTTTAGGTGTTCGGACTTAGTCTGGATGCGAGATGAAAATGGGGCAAAAGGTCTGCGTTTTAAAACGAAAACGTACTTGTGTGGATGGGGCATAACTGGTAGGGATTATTTAACCTCCGTGGGGTCATCGATACCGCTGGTTTGTTAGTGCTCCTGGTTGTTTTAACCACAGTCGTTATAGTTGTTGGAGCCAACCAAGGCCTAGTCTGAACGACCACCGTTTGCATCCTCACCTGAGGCCAAAAGTGAACGGTGCTTTAGTTTCCTGGGAAGTGATGAAAGGACAGCATTATAAGTGGGGGCTAAGTGGTGTTGCAGACCCCCTCCCATATTAAGCAATGGCTAACAGGGGAGGAGAAGGAATTAATTTGAATTACATTGCTTGTTATTAATAACACCTGTGCTTTTCCTACTATGACAAGTCAAAATAACCACTTAGAGCAAGGCCGTATGTTAAGGAGAAGCTCCCTATATTAGCTAACAATGCTGCCCATGCTAGTTTGTTTGGGGTTATAACTGTACATATCATTCAAATATATATTTATAACCATTTAGGTTACATGTGCAACCTGATGTGACCTCCAGTCACCAGAGGTGTCGCCAGATCCATTAAAAGGAACAATCTTGAGGATTAACACTTTAATAGCACACTCTTTTCATCCACAGAGTTATGGCAGCCTGTGTTGATTTGTGCTGCTTAAACATGTCACATGTTGAGAACAGATGCCAATCCAGATAAGATGAAGGGATTTATTGCAAGGGAGATGAAATGATGGCATTACTACACTTACCATGTATCACACCCCCAAAACTGAAAGATAACTAAGTATAACAGATCTCCTGAACCTCTCGTTTGTTGTCACCTCATTTTGCTTTGTCCATTTAGTGTGCTTTTCATAAAACACAAACATTAGCATCCACCATAACCAAGTGGATCTCATCTTGTTGCACATGTATGACTTGATCAAAGAAACGTTTGTCTTTGAAGGTTTTCAGTCATGCTCAGTTTGAACAGACTTGATCCAACATGAACAACATCCAGTTGTCCAACATTTTTGCATAACATCCTTCATATCTTGCTAATTAACATACCTTAGCTGTACTTAAGTACGCTGTAGGATATCATATTACAGTACAGATCCAGATGATTTACATTTAGCATATGATGAACATAAGCTGCATTAATGCATTATTACATGTAATCCTAGAAATATTTCCCTGATACAAAATAGTTGTAGATGAACATAAGCGTAGGAGACAATAACACATACATTTTGTCCTGAACAAGAGTTGCTTGTTGAAATGACATACTTAAAGTATATATATATTTCCCTCATGTTTAGTTTTATGCATTATTTTTTATTTTGATGACTGAATTGCTAAAACATTTATTATATTGCATTATATATAGAAAATCTTGTCCATGTTGCTTTGAAGGATTTATTTTGTGCTGTTCAAGTACCATAATCTTTAAATCCTTATTTTATTTACAGTTTTTTTTTTTATTTGCTGGAATATCTCGTTATGATGTCTAAAATTTGTATTTATGAATTTGTTCCCTCTTTTATTTATGATTAATCTGCTTCTTTAACTGAATCTGCAATTTGTTTCTCAAGTAATGTAATACCATTGTATTAATACAATAAGATATCTCTGTGAGATGACAAGAAGACTCAATAAAATGTTCACATTGAAACCTTTAATCAGTGTGTGTTTAAGCTTGTGTGATTCATGCACCTGACTGGGAGTCTTTGTAGGAATGGTCTCAGAGATTTCTCCTGTACCACAGAGTGTGCAGTGGAGTGTGCAGTAAGTATACTAGGATCCTCATCCTGAAAGTGCAACAAATCCCACTTAATCACCAGTGTACAACACCATACAGTTTTTTTTTATAAATATTCCCTCAGAACTAAAAAAAAAAACAAATTAGCGGGAAAGATTAGTTTCCACAAGTTTCTATAGCAAAGACATGATTTTTGTAGTTTTGTATTTTAGAATGGAGTTATGACATCTAAGTGGAAGTTCTTCTTCACTGGAATATGGTATTGCACAGAATATAAAGTGTATACACAAATAAATTAAAAGAAATTACACTAACAAAATGACACTTTGTTTATCTGAGTGAATAGTGCCATTTCAGATACTTAAATACGGATACATTTTTAGCTAATAACTACTTAAAACATACTTTCCTCAATCTTAAATTTATTTCAGAAAAATATGTCTAAAGTATGTTGGCTATTTAAGTACCACATTAGATCTTGAGTATGTACCATTAACTTACACTGAAATTATTAATACTGTCATGTAAAGATGATTCGTCTTGTCCTCTTGTTTTTGCAAATGAAACACCACACTAGTAAATCTGATTGAGTTGTCTTTTATTTTTATTTATTTGCAGTATAGAAAGCACTTTCCCATTATAGGGCTATGACAACTAAGTTGGTATTTTTTTAGCATAGTATTGTACCTTGGGAATAATGAATGCTTCAATAAATAGAAAGAATATAATGTTTTCTTAAGCATGATACTCCAAGCAAACCTAATTCAACCACAGTATAGTAATTGCAGGATACTGTGTTTTGAGAAAAGAGGGTTGAACTGTGCAGACTTCAGCACAGATTATAGGTGTCATTTACACTGGGGACATGTCCTCACCACATTTTGAAATGGCTGTTTTTTTCCGCATCACTTTTTGAAAGCACAAAAATGTTCTGAAAAAAAGCTTTCACCAAGAAATGTTAATAAATAAAAAATGATTTGAGAAAGGTTTGCACAATAAGAAAACATGCAATGCAATTTAATTATAGAAGAAACAAATGTCCATTGTCCACAAAGTAACTTAAGCTAAAAATAAACAAGCTACTGATTACTGCATTTTATATTTTTATATTTGTGAATTGTCACCTGCCAGCTGAATATAAAAAAAGACATTTCCACTGTAAATTGGAGCAAAAAATGTCTCCAGAATACAGGAAAATAAGTGTTTAATGCTCAGATTTTCTTGGGGAAGACCTCAAGACCAGTGTTGGGCAAGTTACTTCCAAAATGTAATACCTTATAGATTACTAGTTACTGTCTTTTGAGAGTAATTAATTATAGTACAACATTACTGTCTCCAAATTGTAATGCTTTACACTACTTTTGTGTTACTTTTTAGTTACTTTAACTGCTATTTAATGGGCACATTATTCTGATGGTAAGATGCGCTGCATAGGCAACCGCATAGTTGTATTCTACTGATGTGCAGTTATCTGCGGATCGGGTGTAATCAAAATGAACCTTTTGATTAATAGCGGGTGTGGGGGAGGGGAGGGGGTAATTAACACATTACGCTGTGCTCATTTACGCACGAGGTGCAGCAGCATTACATGATTGATTATTTGAATCTCCCGACACACCGACAGGATCGGTCAGGATGAACTGACAGCAGCCTCTCTGATCATGAAAGTAAATCATTAAAGAAAACACATAGCCTATAGAAATCTATTATAGACATGACCCATCAGGGGAGCTACAGTCTCATTAAGACGAGCTGTGATTCCCCATAGTTTGAACCCTTCCTACAATCTCGGCCATCGATTCCCCCATCAGGAAATAACGTGAATCTTTTACTCATGGATTTGATTCTACTGCTGAAATGGTTTGCAGTGTTGGTGAATTATTAAATAAAGAAAACACCACTTCATTTCGGCTTAAAATGCGTTATAACACGCGTAACTGAGATTGTAACGGGTATATTATTACCAGATTTTAGGTATGTGTTACATTACTGCCTTACAGCAAAAAGCAATACATTGAAATTGAATTGAATAGAATGATATTACTGTAATTGCGTTACTTTTGTAACAAGCTACTCCCAACACTGCTCAAGACCAGCTGCTCATATTTTTAAGCAATTCATATTTCTTCAACATAGTGTTAAAAATCTTCTTGTGTGCATCGTCATGTCTCGTGACCCAACTGTATCATCATTCCCCCTGATCTGAGCCCTTATGTCCCCACCACTTTTCAACACAAAGTGGTTCCCTTGTTGTTACTTGTTTAAATGTGGTAAGAACAGTTCATTAATGACTACCCTATCACCACCACAGTCTAATATGTACAGTTGTTAGCTGAGAGACAGGGACCAAGAGAGGAAGGGGATCCACAGAGACTGCTTGTAAATAGGGCCCAGAATTTAGTGCTACGCCCCTGCACATCAGCATGTTGATGTATGTCAAGAAGTTATTAATATTATTTATTTCTTCACAAATCAGATGCAAAACAGATGCTTTGTCAGTCTCATAATATCACCTGGTATTTAGAAAGGCGGAATATTTATTTGCATACACTCATTAAGGTTGATCAGTAACAAAAATCCTGTTTGAGACAATTAAATGTATGATGGATTATGCAGTTATCCCTGGCATTAGTCTTGGTAGATAAAATCAGCAGCTCAACAGAAGCTTTCTGATCTTAGCTCATAATCTCTGTGTCCTAAATAAACTGATTTACTGTAAATATGTCCAATGTGGCAGGATATATTTCAATTTTGAATATTTAAGGCTACAACTAAACATTCTCAGTCACAAATGTACAAGGAGACAGTCAAAGATAAATTCTGTGAAAACATAGAACCTTTTAGAACTGTAATGTGCATATCCAACTCACCTTGTCTGACACATCATTTAAACTGGAGACCTGATAAGGCATGTATGTCAAGAATGTCGGGAACTTACATCAATATACTCGTCCAAAACTCATTCCCACTGTACAAAACTCAGCACAATCTTCTTTGACTTTAAGCCGCCTGTTCTGCTGGTGCAAAATTTGGCCTTAAATATGTAAAGCAACTGAAAGAACCAGAGCTTGACTCACAGCTTGTAGCTAATCCTTTATTCATGGAAATCTCCAGAGAATGGCAGCTTCCGAGGAGTGGCTTCTTTACCTTTGCTGGGCTGTGCATGTTGTGCTGCTTTGAATCCACCTCCACTCATTACTATCAACATGCGACGCCTCATGCGGGACAATCCGAAGAAACTGCTTGGGTCACCTGATAAGCACCGAGTGATATGTCATGAACTAAATCCAGAGCTCTTATTTTATTCTACAAATGGTTTTATCTCCATCACACACATACACGCTGCTGGGAAAAGTTAAATATGGAGTGGATTGGTGTGCGGAGGTAGGCAGAAGTCTCTGTTCCTACATCCAGTTTGAAAATATGATTTGTTGTTCATATTGAAAGTAAGTTGGGGGTGGGGAGAAGCTGACAATATTTTCTGGTATTGCCGAGGTGTAGGCTGCAAGATATGTCAGAAAGTGACAGTGTGTGGACCTGAGCGGTGCTCTAAAGTAGGGATAAAGTGGTATGATGGACAGAAGATTGGCTGGGAATTAAAAAGACCATGAGCCCTCTCCAAGCACCATGGGACAGCTGACAGGCAGTCTATAGAGCTCTCCTCCCAGGTTCACTGGGAAAAGACTCTGTTCAGACTGACAAACTACAGTCATCACTCATTCTTCACTGTGGTCTGTTGATGCAAACATTAACTAATTTCTATAGATGTTAAAAAGTGCTATAACAAACAAGTCCTTTTAGGGACCTGACTTAAACATAAAGCTTAAAGCATAATTTTGGTTTATTACAATTAATGTCTTAACATGGTGACATTGCTTCAGTTAAGTCCAATGGGGTAAGAAACAAACAGTAAGACCATCAGAGAAGTTAAACAAGCCAGCAGTCTTGCCAGATTGTCCAAATCATTTATTTGGAGGTACAACTGAAAGTAGGAAGGAACCACCTAAATGTCAATAATAATCCCTCATTGCAGAGAAAAAATGCGAAAGTACAGCAAGTGTGGCAGGTCAATTTTGGACATGATCTCTGTTTGTAATCTGTGATTGATGTTTACAATCAACAGTTTTTGTACCTTCATTTTCCAAATAAGTTAAGCTAACCTTGGTTTTGTTAAAAATGTGTTTGATCATCCAAGTGCTTGTATTTCTTGCCCTGATGGACTTTTTTAAAGCACAGTTCTCAGCTATTAACTTGGTGACTTCAGTCATATTATTACTAATGTAAATAATGGCTGAAACTGCAGAAATAAGACCCAATTTGTAGTAAACCAGAATGATCCTTTAATGATGAATTCATTGTTTTTACCATTTGGAGGCAGGGCAAAGCAGCAGGGGAACATCAGAGAGAAAACCAGATAATATTTGCCTTCAATTATGATGCAGTTTCAGTAAAATCAGTGAATAAAGTTGTGCTTTCGTACAGTAATCTCTGGTGCCCGTCCCAGAAACACTATTTTTCAGCAGCGTCTTAAAAATTAAGAAAACTTTTCATTGTATTCTAAATTAATGCAGGCTCCCAGTGCAGGATGATTCATCAGCATTTTAAAATTGTTTTCCAGGAAATGACACACACTAAAATGTCATCAAGAATACCTACAAAACAACATCTTATGCCATCGATGGACCAGATCCTGCCATATGACGTGTCGGTCCAGTGCAAGGCATATAAAAACATTGCAAGTACAATTATTAAAAACAAACAAACAAAAAGTTATTCATTTCAGCTGTTTAACATTGTTAATCTAAATAATCATTTCATCTTTAAAAATAAGCATTATATTAATGTTGGTCCAAAGTTTTACTTTTCCATTAAGATCCTTTTAATCTTATTTTAGTTTATTGTGGTATATTATTTGGTTTT